GCCACCCCTTGCCCTGCCCACCTGCATGTGAGGCATGGGCAGAACGAGTTGACTTTTGAGTCGACTCAAAAGGAGAACTAGCAAGCCACCCCTTGCCCTGCCCACCTGCATGTGAGGCATGGGCAGAACGAGTTGACTTTTGAGTCGACTCAAAAGGAGAACTAGCAAGCCACCCCTTGCCCTGCCCACCTGCATGTGAGGCATGGGCAGAACGAGTTGACTTTTGAGTCGACTCAAAAGGAGAACTAGCAAGCCACCCCTTGCCCTGCCCACCTGCATGTGAGGCATGGGCAGAACGAGTTGACTTTTGAGTCGACTCAAAAGGAGAACTAGCAAGCCACCCCTTGCCCTGCCCACCTGCATGTGAGGCATGGGCAGAACGAGTTGACTTTTGAGTCGACTCAAAAGGAGAACTAGCAAGCCACCCCTTGCCCTGCCCACCTGCATGTGAGGCATGGGCAGAACGAGTTGACTTTTGAGTCGACTCAAAAGGAGAACTAGCAAGCCACCCCTTGCCCTGCCCACCTGCATGTGAGGCATGGGCAGAACGAGTTGACTTTTGAGTCGACTCAAAAGGAGAACTAGCAAGCCACCCCTTGCCCTGCCCACCTGCATGTGAGGCATGGGCAGAACGAGTTGACTTTTGAGTCGACTCAAAAGGAGAACTAGCAAGCCACCCCTTGCCCTGCCCACCTGCATGTGAGGCATGGGCAGAACGAGTTGACTTTTGAGTCGACTCAAAAGGAGAACTAGCAAGCCACCCCTTGCCCTGCCCACCTGCATGTGAGGCATGGGCAGAACGAGTTGACTTTTGAGTCGACTCAAAAGGAGAACTAGCAAGCCACCCCTTGCCCTGCCCACCTGCATGTGAGGCATGGGCAGAACGAGTTGACTTTTGAGTCGACTCAAAAGGAGAACTAGCAAGCCACCCCTTGCCCTGCCCACCTGCATGTGAGGCATGGGCAGAACGAGTTGACTTTTGAGTCGACTCAAAAGGAGAACTAGCAAGCCACCCCTTGCCCTGCCCACCTGCATGTGAGGCATGGGCAGAACGAGTTGACTTTTGAGTCGACTCAAAAGGAGAACTAGCAAGCCACCCCTTGCCCTGCCCACCTGCATGTGAGGCATGGGCAGAACGAGTTGACTTTTGAGTCGACTCAAAAGGAGAACTAGCAAGCCACCCCTTGCCCTGCCCACCTGCATGTGAGGCATGGGCAGAACGAGTTGACTTTTGAGTCGACTCAAAAGGAGAACTAGCAAGCCACCCCTTGCCCTGCCCACCTGCATGTGAGGCATGGGCAGAACGAGTTGACTTTTGAGTCGACTCAAAAGGAGAACTAGCAAGCCACCCCTTGCCCTGCCCACCTGCATGTGAGGCATGGGCAGAACGAGTTGACTTTTGAGTCGACTCAAAAGGAGAACTAGCAAGCCACCCCTTGCCCTGCCCACCTGCATGTGAGGCATGGGCAGAACGAGTTGACTTTTGAGTCGACTCAAAAGGAGAACTAGCAAGCCACCCCTTGCCCTGCCCACCTGCATGTGAGGCATGGGCAGAACGAGTTGACTTTTGAGTCGACTCAAAAGGAGAACTAGCAAGCCACCCCTTGCCCTGCCCACCTGCATGTGAGGCATGGGCAGAACGAGTTGACTTTTGAGTCGACTCAAAAGGAGAACTAGCAAGCCACCCCTTGCCCTGCCCACCTGCATGTGAGGCATGGGCAGAACGAGTTGACTTTTGAGTCGACTCAAAAGGAGAACTAGCAAGCCACCCCTTGCCCTGCCCACCTGCATGTGAGGCATGGGCAGAACGAGTTGACTTTTGAGTCGACTCAAAAGGAGAACTAGCAAGCCACCCCTTGCCCTGCCCACCTGCATGTGAGGCATGGGCAGAACGAGTTGACTTTTGAGTCGACTCAAAAGGAGAACTAGCAAGCCACCCCTTGCCCTGCCCACCTGCATGTGAGGCATGGGCAGAACGAGTTGACTTTTGAGTCGACTCAAAAGGAGAACTAGCAAGCCACCCCTTGCCCTGCCCACCTGCATGTGAGGCATGGGCAGAACGAGTTGACTTTTGAGTCGACTCAAAAGGAGAACTAGCAAGCCACCCCTTGCCCTGCCCACCTGCATGTGAGGCATGGGCAGAACGAGTTGACTTTTGAGTCGACTCAAAAGGAGATCTAGCAAGCCACCCCTTGCCCTGCCCACCTGCATGTGAGGCATGGGCAGAACGAGTTGACTTTTGAGTCGACTCAAAAGGAGAACTAGCAAGCCACCCCTTGCCCTGCCCACCTGCATGTGAGGCATGGGCAGAACGAGTTGACTTTTGAGTCGACTCAAAAGGAGAACTAGCAAGCCACCCCTTGCCCTGCCCACCTGCATGTGAGGCATGGGCAGAACGGCTGCACAGCCGATGCACAGCCGCAGTACGGCAAGTTGACTTTTGAGTCAACTCAAAAGTCAACTCTGCACAGCCGATGCATAGCCGCAGTACGGCAGCGGTGCAGCTGGTGCTGCACCGCTGCGCGCGGATTCCCTTCCCTGCCTCGTTCATCCGATGCTCAGTGACTTCCCTCGCCTTCCCCCACCTACCTGACCCAGCTCCCCTCTCCCCCTATTTGCTTCCCCTCGTCCTCCTCCCCATCTTTCACCCCACCCAGACGCCGAGCGCCTGTTCTGCCAATCAATCCGACAGCAGCTCAATGCAGCGCTCATCCGATGCGCTGTGCTGCAGTCTGCTCTTCACGTGGCAGAGTCTTCTGCTGCTGATGATGGTGCTGCTTCTGGTGGTGCTGCTGCTTCTGTTGCACCTACTCACCCTCTGCTCCTTCATCACCCCCCCAATCTCCTCCCCCACCAGACGCCAAGCGCCTGTTCTGTCAGTCCATTCGTCAGCAGCTCAATGCAGCGCTCATCCGATGCGCTGTGCTGCAGTCTGCTCTTCACGTGGCAGAGTCTTCTGCTGCTGATGATGGTGCTGCTTCTGGTGGTGCTGCTGCTTCTGTTGCACCTACTCGCCCTCTGCTCCTTCATCACCCCCCCAATCTCCTCCCCCACCAGACGCCAAGCGCCTGTTCTGTCAGTCCATTCGTCAGCAGCTCAATGCAGCGCTCATCCGATGCGCTGTGCTGCAGTCTGCTCTTCACGTGGCAGAGTCTTGTGCTGCTGATTCTCTTGGAGTGGCATCAGCAGAGGATGAAAATGGGAAGACAAAGAAAAAGCAGCTGCCGCACATCCCGCTGAAACGAAGACCACGAGAACGTGAGAGAAAGCATGATAATCAGAGAGGAATGACTTTTGAGTCGACTCATAAGTCATCACATGAGAAAGAAAGCACGATTTTCGAAAGAAGATCATTCTTCGGTTGCCGGGCCTGCAATTTTTGGGTGTATTTGTTTGTTTGTTTTCTTTTTCCTCACCTCCCCTTTCTCACCCCTTTCCCCCTTTTTATCCCTTGCTTTCCTCTGGCTGCCTTGCTGCTGGAACGGCTAACAGCATCCCTTGAAGAGCGACTAAGCAAGCTTGAGAAAGCACGTCACTGAAACTACCCTTGAAGCAACCGACTGCACGACATCCCTTAAAGCCAGGGTCTCATGTAAGAGAAATTGTCATCAACTGCAAAACATTTGAAGATCAGTTGCCCTGTTTGAGTAGGATTAGGGGTTGGTTTGGCAATTGAGCGTGTAACACCTTCCCATTTACCCCTGAAGCAATTGCAAAGCATTTGATGGCTACATGAGACTAACTGGATGCTCGCACAAAGTTCCGCTTGTAATGAGTCTGTGTTTTGAGACAACTCAAAACACATTTTGATGGGTACATGATACTGACTGGATGCTCGCACAAGTTGCTGGTGCTCTAGCTTCAACACCGAACCAATATTCGTGCCATCTACGAGAAAGGCCGACACCAGCACCTGCACCACACACGCTCTCCTTCCGCACCTGCACGCTCTCCCCACGCTCTCCCTCCCCGCCTGCACCACATGCTCTCCCTCAGCACCTGACGCTCTCCCTCCGGCGGGTTTCCTTCACTGGAAAGCTCGAGCCTACGACGCAGTCCCACCGCCACCATCAACGCTCCTGTCTGTATCAGCCAGGAAGGCAGACAGCAGTGCCTGCACGCTCTCCCTTTGCATGGCGAAGAGCGTTGAGATGAAGATGCGAGCGTGTGCGTGCCCCCTACGATATCAGACATCACCAGCACCACCATTGATTCCCCCATGCCCATCCATATCTGCCAGGACGGCAGACAGCAGTGCCTGCACACTCTCTCTCCGCATGGCGAAGAGCGTTGAGATGAAGAAACGTGTGCCCCCAATTTTGAACTCCTCTATCAACAGAGTGCCCTCTATCAGACATCACCAGCACCACCATTGATGCCCCCCTCTGTCAAAGCTGGTAGACACTAATGAGGTTTGCCATGTGACACTAATGAGGTACTCACTGATGAGGTTCCCCAACACAATTCAATGTCACCATCCTTGCCTACTTTGAGATGGTATCAGCTAGGAACGACCCTAGGATCCTCGAAGAGCGTTGAGATGAAGCGCGTGAGTGCCCTCTGTCTTGAACTCCTCTATCATCAGAGTGCCCTCTATCAGACATCACCAGCACCACCATTGATGCCCCCCTCCACATCTGCAAGAAAGGCTGACAGCAGCGCCTGCACACTCTCCCTCCGCATGGCGAAGAGCGTTGAGATGAAGAAACGTGTGCCCTCAATTTTGAACTCCTCTATCAACAGAGTGCCCTCTATCAGACATCACCAGCACCACCATTGATGCCCCCCTCTGTCAAAGCTGGTAGACACTAATGAGGTTTGCCATGTGACACTAATGAGGTACTCACTGATGAGGTTCCCCAACACAATTCAATGTCACAATCCTTGCCTACTTTGAGATGGTATCAGCTAGGAACGACCCTAGGATCCTCGAAGAGCGTTGAGATGAAGCGCGTGAGTGCCCTCTGTCTTGAACTCCTCTATCATCAGAGTGCCCTCTATCAGACATCACCAGCACCACCATTGATGCCCCCCTCCACATCTGCAAGAAAGGCTGACAGCAGCGCCTGCACACTCTCCCTCCGCATGGCGAAGAGCGTTGAGATGAAGAAGCGCGTGCCCTCTATCTTGAACTCCTCTAATGGGTTCTCCCGCCCAAAGCCCTGCACGCTCACCTGCAGACACAGGAAGAAGACATCAACAGAACGGAGATAAAAAAGGAGGAAGGGGTAGGAGAGCGAAGAGCGTTGAGATGAAGAAGCGCGTGCCCTCTATCTCGAACTCCTCTAATGGGTTCTCCCGCCCAAAGCCCTGCACGCTCACCTGTGGGAACAGGAAGCAAACAGCGATAGAGAAGGGGGGGAACAGTGGAAGCAAGAGCGTGTTTCAAAAAGAGTGCACGAAATGTACACAGAACAAGAATGTGGATTCGTACGAAACAAGAAAGAGGACAGCAGCGTACTTCTCATGCCCCCCTAACCTTACACACACATCCCTCAGTCAGTCTGTACTTGTTGCAACCCCAGCACCCACTCACCGCATTCCTCAGCCGTGCCATGTTGGCTATGTGCACGCTCCACAGGCGGTCCAGCGCGGAGTGCTGTACTTCCCATGTCCCTCAGTCAGTCTGCTCTTGCCTTAACCCCAACACCCACTCACCGCATTCCTAAGCCGTGCCATGTTGGCTATGTGCACGCTCCACAGCCGGTCCAGCGTGGAGAGCAGCGACTCTCTCTGCTCGACAGGAGGCAAGGAGGGCGCAGGGGGAGGGCATCAGGCGGAGTTGGGAGGCGTAGGGGGGCAGGGGGGAATAGGGAGCGCGAGGGGGAAGTTTATGGACGCAGGTAGGGAAAGAAAACAAAACAGAAAGGAGGGAATCAGAACAGAAAACACCAACAGTCGAGCAGTGGCACGAAAGGAGGGAATAGGGATGAGTACTTCACATGACTAAACAAAAGAGAAACTAGACAAAACACCCACCCAACCCCCCTCACCCCTTCGCGAAAAAAAAGAGAAGTAAAAAAGAAGAAGAAGAAAACGAAAAACAACCTCTTTTTGACACGATGCAACAAAGAGAGAGAGGTGGGCTCTGTAGCTCGTCATGACCACACTGCGCTGCCGGACTTGAAACATTTCTTTCGCAGCAAGCACTTCTCTAGGTCGCATTGCTTTCTCTCACCTCGAAGAACTCCATCTGCTGTGGCGAAGCGACAAAGAGAGCGAGATGGGCCCTGTAGCTCGCCACAACCACGTCCCCTAAGTACTTGCGCAGCGCTGCCAGGTGCTTCGATGACCTGCCCCTCCTGAAGAGAAGAGAGGCGCAGTGAGCAAGGAGCACAAAAATGACAGGAGGAGAGGAGAGGAGGGGAGGGATGAAGAGTGTGAGACAGGGCCTGTAGCTCGTCACCGCCACATCTCCCAGGTACTTGCGCAGCGCTGCCAGGTGCTTCAATGACCTGCCACTCCTGAAGAGAAGAGGGGAGGAGCAGTGAGAGGGGAATAGGAGGGGAGAAGGGAGATAGGTGCGTCTGTAGCTCGTCACAACCACATCCCCTAAGTACTTGCGCAGCGCTGCCAGGTGCTTCGATGACCTGCCCCTCCTGAAGAGAAGAGGGGAGGAGCAGTGAGATGGGGATAGGAGGGGAGAAGGGAGATAGGTGCGTCTGTAGCTCGTCACAACCACATCCCCTAAGTACTTGCGCAGCGCTGCCAGGTGCTTCGATGACCTGCCCCTCCTGAGGAGAAGAGAGACGCAATGAGGGAGTATAGCAGAATGACGGGAGGAGAGGAAACGAAACGCAAGGGTGAAGGGAGCGAGATCGGCCCTGTAGCACGACGTGCTAAGTATGTCACGACCACGTCTCCCAGATACTTGCTCAGCGCTGCCAGGTGATTTGATGATAGACCCTCCTGAGGAGAGCCACGGTGGAAAATAGGAAAATGAGTAGGAGAGAAGAAGAAACACTGCGATGAAGAAAGTGCGGTGCGAAAAAAATGGTTACAGTGGTTGAAAAAGGGGGCATACAGGCCCCATCGTGAGGAACTTACATCTCACTCACACCACCAAGCCTTACAGATCAGAAGAGTCGCGGAGAATCTCTCTCCACCTCAACTCCTCTCGCATTGCCTCTGCGTCTCCCCCCTTCTCCTCTTCCCTCTTATTCTCACTTCCAACACTAGCACCCCCGGCAGCAGCAGCACCACCACCACCACCAGCACCAGCAGCAGCAGCAGCACCAGCAGCAGCACCACCAGCAGCAGCAGTGCCAACAGCAGCGCCACTAGCAGCAGAGTTGGAGCCTCCCCCAAGGGGCGGTAGCACCTCAGGAAGGGGAGGGAGGACGTGGGGAAGGTGCTTTCTGAGGTCCCATCGGTGGCCAGCATTCGGTGGAGGGGAGTGAGAAAGGGCGGAGCTGAGGGAGGTGGCATCCACGTGCAAGGAGATGTCTGGAAGGAAGGGAGTGGACAGGGAGAAAGGTGCAGGGCCAGGGAGGAAAAGGGGGAGAACTTAAGGAACGTGATTTTGAGGCGGTTTATAAGAAAGGGCGGAACCATGCATGGGTAGGGCAGTGAATGCAGAGCAGAGGGAGAGAGAGAGGCGACAGTACCCGATTAGTGAACAAACAGTACCTATGCCAGTGGTGCGAGAAAGGCGCTTGAGCATGGTGTCGATGGGCCATGATGCTACAGGCTGGTGTTGTTGGGAGGGGAGGGGAGGGGAGGGAGGGCGGGGAATGCGAGAGAAGAGGTGCGAGAAAGGCGCTTGCGCATGGTGTCGATGGGCCATGATGCGACCGGCTGGTGTTGTTGGGAGGGGAGGGGAGGGGAGGGAGGGCGGGGAATGCGAGAGAAGAGGTGCGAGAAAGGCGCTTGCGCATGGTGTCGATGGGCCATGATGCGACCGGCTGGTGTTGGGGAAGCAGTGAGTGAAGGAGCGACGAGGAATGGAATGTGAGGGATGGGGAAGAAAGGAAGAGAATGCAATGGGGCTCTTGAGAGCATGGTGTCGATAGGCCATGATGCCACCGGCTGGTGCATGGAGACTTGTTTGTGAACTCTCATGACCATTGCATGCACAGTGAAATGCTTTTTTTTAGGTGTCTCAAGAGATGCGCTTGAGCATGGTGTCAATGGGCCATGACGCCACCGGGTGGTGCATGGAGACTCTCATGACCGAGCATAGTTTCTATAAACTCTCTCATTAACAGCGCATGCACAGTGAAATGCTCTATATACGAACTGCATAGACTCTGGTTAACTTACCTTGGAGGGTGAGCAGTACTCCTTGACCACATCATCCACCACTGCTTGGATGTACCTGAAAGGATGTGAATGGGTGATGGGTGGTTTAAAATTCGCATTATATCCACAATTGATTAAATCATTCTTATTATAAAGAGGCACCTTGATGCTTAGAACATGCATGCATGCACTTGGTGCAAGCAACGTGACATCCACAGGACTCACAGTTGTGCGCGTGTATGTCGGACCTGAGGGGACTCCTCCAGAATTGAATGGACTCTCGCAGCTCGTATACGTGCTTGCGCTGCAGCTGCAAGATGGAAGGGGGACGTGCACAACAAGGTGGGAAACACACAACACGGGAGAGGAACTAGCTATATCAGAACCAGCTAAGAAATTGAATGGACTCTCGCAGCTCGTATACGTGCTTGCGCTGCAGCTGCAAGATGGAAGGGGGACGTGCACAACAAGGTGGGAAACACACAACACGGGAGAGGAACTAGCTATATCAGAACCAGCTAAGAAATTGAATGGACTCTCGCAGCTCGTATACGTGCTTGCGCTGCAGCTGCAAGATGGAAGGGGGACGTGCACAACAAGGTGGGAAACACACAACACGGGAGAGGAACTAGCTATATCAGAACCAGCTAAGAAATTGAATGGACTCTCGCAGCTCGTATACGTGCTTGCGCTGCAGCTGCAAGATGGAAGGGGGACGTGCACAACAAGGTGGGAAACACACAACACGGGAGAGGAACTAGCTATATCAGAACCAGCTAAGAAATTGAATGGACTCTCGCAGCTCGTATACGTGCTTGCGCTGCAGCTGCAAGATGGAAGGGGGACGTGCACAACAAGGTGGGAAACACACAACACGGGAGAGGAACTAGCTATATCAGAACCAGCTAAGAAATTGAATGGACTCTCGCAGCTCGTATACGTGCTTGCGCTGCAGCTGCAAGATGGAAGGGGGACGTGCACAACAAGGTGGGAAACACACAACACGGGAGAGGAACTAGCTATATCAGAACCAGCTAAGAAATTGAATGGACTCTCGCAGCTCGTATACGTGCTTGCGCTGCAGCTGCAAGATGGAAGGGGGACGTGCACAACAAGGTGGGAAACACACAACACGGGAGAGGAACTAGCTATATCAGAACCAGCTAAGAAATTGAATGGACTCTCGCAGCTCGTATACGTGCTTGCGCTGCAGCTGCAAGATGGAAGGGGGACGTGCACAACAAGGTGGGAAACACACAACACGGGAGAGGAACTAGCTATATCAGAACCAGCTAAGAAATTGAATGGACTCTCGCAGCTCGTATACGTGCTTGCGCTGCAGCTGCAAGATGGAAGGGGGACGTGCACAACAAGGTGGGAAACACACAACACGGGAGAGGAACTAGCTATATCAGAACCAGCTAAGAAATTGAATGGACTCTCGCAGCTCGTATACGTGCTTGCGCTGCAGCTGCAAGATGGAAGGGGGACGTGCACAACAAGGTGGGAAACACACAACACGGGAGAGGAACTAGCTATATCAGAACCAGCTAAGAAATTGAATGGACTCTCGCAGCTCGTATACGTGCTTGCGCTGCAGCTGCAAGATGGAAGGGGGACGTGCACAACAAGGTGGGAAACACACAACACGGGAGAGGAACTAGCTATATCAGAACCAGCTAAGAAATTGAATGGACTCTCGCAGCTCGTATACGTGCTTGCGCTGCAGCTGCAAGATGGAAGGGGGACGTGCACAACAAGGTGGGAAACACACAACACGGGAGAGGAACTAGCTATATCAGAACCAGCTAAGAAATTGAATGGACTCTCGCAGCTCGTATACGTGCTTGCGCTGCAGCTGCAAGATGGAAGGGGGACGTGCACAACAAGGTGGGAAACACACAACACGGGAGAGGAACTAGCTATATCAGAACCAGCTAAGAAATTGAATGGACTCTCGCAGCTCGTATACGTGCTTGCGCTGCAGCTGCAAGATGGAAGGGGGACGTGCACAACAAGGTGGGAAACACACAACACGGGAGAGGAACTAGCTATATCAGAACCAGCTAAGAAATTGAATGGACTCTCGCAGCTCGTATACGTGCTTGCGCTGCAGCTGCAAGATGGAAGGGGGACGTGCACAACAAGGTGGGAAACACACAACACGGGAGAGGAACTAGCTATATCAGAACCAGCTAAGAAATTGAATGGACTCTCGCAGCTCGTATACGTGCTTGCGCTGCAGCTGCAAGATGGAAGGGGGACGTGCACAACAAGGTGGGAAACACACAACACGGGAGAGGAACTAGCTATATCAGAACCAGCTAAGAAATTGAATGGACTCTCGCAGCTCGTATACGTGCTTGCGCTGCAGCTGCAAGATGGAAGGGGGACGTGCACAACAAGGTGGGAAACACACAACACGGGAGAGGAACTAGCTATATCAGAACCAGCTAAGAAATTGAATGGACTCTCGCAGCTCGTATACGTGCTTGCGCTGCAGCTGCAAGATGGAAGGGGGACGTGCACAACAAGGTGGGAAACACACAACACGGGAGAGGAACTAGCTATATCAGAACCAGCTAAGAAATTGAATGGACTCTCGCAGCTCGTATACGTGCTTGCGCTGCAGCTGCAAGATGGAAGGGGGACGTGCACAACAAGGTGGGAAACACACAACACGGGAGAGGAACTAGCTATATCAGAACCAGCTAAGAAATTGAATGGACTCTCGCAGCTCGTATACGTGCTTGCGCTGCAGCTGCAAGATGGAAGGGGGACGTGCACAACAAGGTGGGAAACACACAACACGGGAGAGGAACTAGCTATATCAGAACCAGCTAAGAAATTGAATGGACTCTCGCAGCTCGTATACGTGCTTGCGCTGCAGCTGCAAGATGGAAGGGGGACGTGCACAACAAGGTGGGAAACACACAACACGGGAGAGGAACTAGCTATATCAGAACCAGCTAAGAAATTGAATGGACTCTCGCAGCTCGTATACGTGCTTGCGCTGCAGCTGCAAGATGGAAGGGGGACGTGCACAACAAGGTGGGAAACACACAACACGGGAGAGGAACTAGCTATATCAGAACCAGCTAAGAAATTGAATGGACTCTCGCAGCTCGTATACGTGCTTGCGCTGCAGCTGCAAGATGGAAGGGGGACGTGCACAACAAGGTGGGAAACACACAACACGGGAGAGGAACTAGCTATATCAGAACCAGCTAAGAAATTGAATGGACTCTCGCAGCTCGTATACGTGCTTGCGCTGCAGCTGCAAGATGGAAGGGGGACGTGCACAACAAGGTGGGAAACACACAACACGGGAGAGGAACTAGCTATATCAGAACCAGCTAAGAAATTGAATGGACTCTCGCAGCTCGTATACGTGCTTGCGCTGCAGCTGCAAGATGGAAGGGGGACGTGCACAACAAGGTGGGAAACACACAACACGGGAGAGGAACTAGCTATATCAGAACCAGCTAAGAAATTGAATGGACTCTCGCAGCTCGTATACGTGCTTGCGCTGCAGCTGCAAGATGGAAGGGGGACGTGCACAACAAGGTGGGAAACACACAACACGGGAGAGGAACTAGCTATATCAGAACCAGCTAAGAAATTGAATGGACTCTCGCAGCTCGTATACGTGCTTGCGCTGCAGCTGCAAGATGGAAGGGGGACGTGCACAACAAGGTGGGAAACACACAACACGGGAGAGGAACTAGCTATATCAGAACCAGCTAAGAAATTGAATGGACTCTCGCAGCTCGTATACGTGCTTGCGCTGCAGCTGCAAGATGGAAGGGGGACGTGCACAACAAGGTGGGAAACACACAACACGGGAGAGGAACTAGCTATATCAGAACCAGCTAAGAAATTGAATGGACTCTCGCAGCTCGTATACGTGCTTGCGCTGCAGCTGCAAGATGGAAGGGGGACGTGCACAACAAGGTGGGAAACACACAACACGGGAGAGGAACTAGCTATATCAGAACCAGCTAAGAAATTGAATGGACTCTCGCAGCTCGTATACGTGCTTGCGCTGCAGCTGCAAGATGGAAGGGGGACGTGCACAACAAGGTGGGAAACACACAACACGGGAGAGGAACTAGCTATATCAGAACCAGCTAAGAAATTGAATGGACTCTCGCAGCTCGTATACGTGCTTGCGCTGCAGCTGCAAGATGGAAGGGGGACGTGCACAACAAGGTGGGAAACACACAACACGGGAGAGGAACTAGCTATATCAGAACCAGCTAAGAAATTGAATGGACTCTCGCAGCTCGTATACGTGCTTGCGCTGCAGCTGCAAGATGGAAGGGGGACGTGCACAACAAGGTGGGAAACACACAACACGGGAGAGGAACTAGCTATATCAGAACCAGCTAAGAAATTGAATGGACTCTCGCAGCTCGTATACGTGCTTGCGCTGCAGCTGCAAGATGGAAGGGGGACGTGCACAACAAGGTGGGAAACACACAACACGGGAGAGGAACTAGCTATATCAGAACCAGCTAAGAAATTGAATGGACTCTCGCAGCTCGTATACGTGCTTGCGCTGCAGCTGCAAGATGGAAGGGGGACGTGCACAACAAGGTGGGAAACACACAACACGGGAGAGGAACTAGCTATATCAGAACCAGCTAAGAAATTGAATGGACTCTCGCAGCTCGTATACGTGCTTGCGCTGCAGCTGCAAGATGGAAGGGGGACGTGCACAACAAGGTGGGAAACACACAACACGGGAGAGGAACTAGCTATATCAGAACCAGCTAAGAAATTGAATGGACTCTCGCAGCTCGTATACGTGCTTGCGCTGCAGCTGCAAGATGGAAGGGGGACGTGCACAACAAGGTGGGAAACACACAACACGGGAGAGGAACTAGCTATATCAGAACCAGCTAAGAAATTGAATGGACTCTCGCAGCTCGTATACGTGCTTGCGCTGCAGCTGCAAGATGGAAGGGGGACGTGCACAACAAGGTGGGAAACACACAACACGGGAGAGGAACTAGCTATATCAGAACCAGCTAAGAAATTGAATGGACTCTCGCAGCTCGTATACGTGCTTGCGCTGCAGCTGCAAGATGGAAGGGGGACGTGCACAACAAGGTGGGAAACACACAACACGGGAGAGGAACTAGCTATATCAGAACCAGCTAAGAAATTGAATGGACTCTCGCAGCTCGTATACGTGCTTGCGCTGCAGCTGCAAGATGGAAGGGGGACGTGCACAACAAGGTGGGAAACACACAACACGGGAGAGGAACTAGCTATATCAGAACCAGCTAAGAAATTGAATGGACTCTCGCAGCTCGTATACGTGCTTGCGCTGCAGCTGCAAGATGGAAGGGGGACGTGCACAACAAGGTGGGAAACACACAACACGGGAGAGGAACTAGCTATATCAGAACCAGCTAAGAAATTGAATGGACTCTCGCAGCTCGTATACGTGCTTGCGCTGCAGCTGCAAGATGGAAGGGGGACGTGCACAACAAGGTGGGAAACACACAACACGGGAGAGGAACTAGCTATATCAGAACCAGCTAAGAAATTGAATGGACTTTCGCTGCTCGTATACGTGCTTGCGCTGCAGCTGCAAGATGGAAGGGGGACGTGCACAACAAGGTGGGAAACACACAACACGGGAGAGGAACTAGCTATATCAGAACCAGCTAAGAAATTGAATGGACTCTCGCAGCTCGTATACGTGCTTGCGCTGCAACTGCAGTGGGGCAGAAGGAGAGGAAGGCCAGAAGGGAAAGGGGCAGAAGGGAGAGGGAGGAGAAGGGCGTAAGAATGTGGGTGGAAGGGAAGAGGGACAATATTTGGAGACGTCTCAAAATACTACTTCTATCACGTGAAAACAGCACATGGGTGATTCAATGGACAGCAGACGGTACGCATGCTTGCACCGGTTTTGCAACGTCTCAGGTTGAAACGCATGCTCACACACCCGTAACCGCCAAGTATAGAAAGAAGCGGGTTGATCACCTAAAGAATATAGCAGCTCACCTCAAAGACCTGATCGTAGTCAAGCATTTGCCTCCGCCGCTCAAACATGGCAGCTTCGATGATCTTCTGCGTCTGCACCAACTGGTGACGGAAATCAGGAGTTGAGAGGGGTGCGACACACACAGTGGATGGGTTAGAAGGGGTTCGAACATGGTGTGGATGGATTGAAAAGAGTTGAACAAGGGGTGCAAGGAGCATTTGCCACCACCGCTCAAACATGGCAGCTTCAATGGTCTTCTGTGTCTGCACCGACTGGTGAGGGTTGGTGTTTGGAGGGTGAGACACGGAGTGGTTGGGTTGGGTTGACATGGCTTGGATGACGCGCGAAGAGCCGAGGGAATTTATTGGGGCGTTGGGACGGGAAATGTAGGTGCTCTTGCAGCGAGAGTCAAGGCCATGTGTGCTCCGGTGTGCTTACAGCGAGAGTCAAGGCCATGTGTGCTCCGGTGTGCTTACAGCGAGAGTCAAGGCCATGTGTGCTCCTGTGTGCTTACAGCGAGAGTCAAGGCCATGTGTGCTCCTGTGTGCTTACAGCGAGAGTCAAGGCCATGTGGGGGAAGCCCTCGTCAAAGTCCCCAGTGTAGAGAAGCTGCTCCAGCATGGCCCGAGAGGAGTCTGGCAGCACTTCCCTCATCATATCGTCCTCCATGCTGGTTGGGAGGGAGAAAGCGGGGGAGGGTGGGGGGAGGGGGAAAGATGGACAGGGGGTTCGGGAGTGGGGCAGGGAGGTGGTTGCAGCAGCTGCTCCAGCATGGCTAGAGAGAAGTCTGGTCCCACCTCCCTCATCATGTCGTCCTCCATGCTGCTTTGGCAGGGAGAGGGAACAGGTGCCGAGACTTGGAGGAGGGGGGCGTATGGGGTACGGCACTGGTGTGAGCACGGCTCCTTTCACCTCGTTCTCACCTGACCATCACCTGACCGTCACCTGATGCTCACCTGATGATAAACTGAGTTGACCCGGGGTCACCCTGTCGACCTGCTCTCCCACTCAACTGCCATGCACACAGCAAAAACAGCATAGTACGCAGAGGAGTTTGTACTTGGAGCAGGTGCGTATGATGAGAACTCTACGAAAACGCCTGCATAAGAAGTTGTAGCTGGAGGATCTGACTTGTGAGTTGACTCAAAAGTCACCTCGTTGCACTTGAAGCACCTGCCTATGAGAATTCTACGAAACCGCCTGCATAGGAAGTTGCAGCTGGAGCACGTAAACAGAAACAAACATACTTTTTGGAGATGTGGGAGTCTCCTTGCACCAAAAGAGCTTCACTGGCCAATCCCTAACCACCGTCTACCTGCATGGACTGCGCTGCAGTACTGCTTCTAATGCAGACCAGGAAACCCAACTCACACTCACCCACCTGGTTGTCAATCCGCCTTGACTCGCTCAGTGCAGTGCTGATGACATGCAGGCCCCCCAGCGAGCGCACATACTCGCACTTCTCCCTACAGTGCGCCTTGCAGTCCAAGCTCACCCTCTCCCCACCACACCACCCGCCTCAGCGCCCGCCTCACCACCCGCACCACCATCTCCTGCATCGACCGCGGCACTGCTGGCAGCTGCTACCACAAAGTCGCAGGCAAAAGGTGCTTACCTGATTATCGATTCTTCTTGACTCGCTGAGTGCCGTACCAATGACATGCAGCCCCCCCAGCGAGCGCACATACTCGCCCTCCTCCCGGCAGTGCGCCTTGCAGTCCAAGCTCACCCGCCCCAGCGCCCGTCCCACCACCCGCACCACCATCTCCTGCATCGACCGCTGCACCGCCCGCACCCCCAGCTGCTACCACAGAGTCGCAGACAAAAGGGGGCGCTCACCTGATTGTCAATTCGCCTTGACTCGCTCAGAGCAGTCCCAATGACATGCAGACCCCCCAGCGAGCGCACATACTCGCCCTCCTCCCGGCAGTGCGCTCTGCAGTCTGCACTCACCCGCCCCAGCGCCCGCCCCACCACCCGCACCACCATCTCCTGCATCGACCGCGGCACCGCCCGCACTCCCAGCACCCCTCCGCTTCAACCCTGCATCAACTGCAGCACTGCCTCTACAGCAGACGAAGTAACCATCACACCTACCTGGTTGTCAATGCGTCTAGACTCGCTCAGAGCTGTGCCGATGACATGCAGGCCTCCAAGCGAGCGCACATACTCGCCCTCCTCCCGGCAGTGCGCCTTGCAATCCGCACTCACCCGCCCCAGCGCCCGCCCCACCACCCGCACCACCATCTCCTGCATCGACCGTGGCACTGCCCGCACTCCCAGCACCCCTCCGCCTCCCCCCCACACGTCTGCATCGTCGTCGTCGCTCTCATCCCCCTCCCCCTCCCCACTGCTGCTGCTGCTGCTGCTGCTGAAGCTACCACTGCTGCTGATACCGCTACCGTGGCTGATACTGCTTCTGCTGGTGCTGTCTTTTTCACCGGTTTTCCAAGGCAGAGGGCTCATCCCTGTGTCCTCGGCATCATCCCCTTCCCACACCCCTGCACCTGCATCCTCTCTGCTTTCACCCCATTCCCAACCCTCCTCCCTGCCCTCGCCGCCAGTCCCAGGAGAGGCTGAAGGCCTTAAAGCCAGAGTCTCTGCCTGCTCTAGAACTGCCTGCTGCTGCGCCTCCGACCAATCAGCTGCCACGCTGCGCCGTGTTTCAAAGCGAAAGGGGGAAGAATTTGAAATATCCTTCCGGAGTTGACTAAGAAAGAACCCTTGCCTCTGCTCATGCCTTTTGGGATGTGTAACACTTGAGAACTGGGCAGTGTCGAGCTCCTTCAATGCAGCCTCTTGCAGTTCAACTGATAGGCCACCAGAACCCCTACCTAGGTTTATGCCTCTTGAGACGACTCAAAAATCGCATGAGAACTGAGCGGCATAGAGCTCTTTCGACGAGTCCACTTGCAGTGCGATCTAACAAATTGAGTCCACTCAAAGGTCAACACGGCACTCACGCACTCACTCACATGAGAACTGAGCAGCGTAAAGCTCCTTCAGTGTATCCTCTTGCAGCTCGATAGGCCAGAACCCCTGCCTCTGCTCATGCCAAGGCAGGAAAAAAAAGAGTAAAACAAGGACTTGGACGAATCGGGTTAGTGGCAGTGTTTCTAACAAATCGTAATTGAGCTCATTTTTGTGGCAACTCAAAACTCATCCAGCCAGCGCTGTTCATTCATGTGGCGCTTTTTCGAAAGCCGAGTGGTTACCCGCTTCCTTTCAGAGGTTTTGCAGAATTGATTTGGAATTTCCTCCATAGTGCCTTGCTCAAGAGCTGGACTTATCACTCCAGCAGCACACGCACCTCATGTGGCCCCTTCTTGAAAGCGGAATAGTTCCCTGCTGTGGCTGCTGGCGCTTCGAATAGTGCCCACTTGACCACCTCCTTGCTCAAGAGCTGGACATGTGGAGGAGGATGAAAGGAAGAGGAGAGGGCGAGGGGAACATAGGATGGGAGGAGGAGTGAGAGAATCTGACAACTTGCGAATGCATGCTTCGAATAGTGCCCACTTGACCACCTCCTTGCTCAAGAGCTGGACATGTGGAGGAGGATGAAAGGAAGAGGAGAGGGCGAGGGGAACATAGGATGGGAGGAGGAGTGAGAGAATCTGACGACTTGCGAATGCATGCTTCGAATAATGCCCACTTGACCACCTCCTTGCTCAAGAGCTGGGCGATGGAGATGGTGATGCCTCCAAACCACCCTGCCTCCACCAATCAATTACTAGTGCCAACTTAACACCACACAGCAACCTTGGGATTCCCACCCAGGATCAATACCAACCTCGGGATTGCCTCCCAGCACAATGTCAGTCCCACGGCCAGCCATGTTGGTGGAGATGGTGATGCCTCCAAATCGCCCCGCCTGCGCTACGATCTCTGCCTCGCGTGCTGCGTTCTGGGGGGAACAGGCAAGGGGGATGAAAGGCGGGGGGGGAGACGAGGAAGGGGAGAGGAGGAAGGGAAGTGTGGGAGAGGCAGGAGACATTTGACGTGGTGGAGATGGTGATGCCTCCAAATCGCCCCGCCTGTGCCACGATCTCCGCCTCACGTGCTGCGTATTGGAGGGGAGAAGGGGTGGGGAGAGGGGGAGTAGAGAAGGGAGAGTGTGGAAGAGGCAAAATTCATTATTAGTCGACTCAAGAGTGTTAGAGATGCGATGCCTCTAAACCACCCCGCCTGCGCCATGGTCTCGGCCTGGCGCGCTGCGTTCTGGGGAGACGAAAAAGAGGTAGCGGAGGGAAACGCCAAAGGGAGGGCAGAGCAGTAGATCTCAATTTCGCCACCCAAACTTTGGGCCATCTCTAATATTACATGTTCTTCAAGACAGAACATATTGCACAGTGCAGTGCACACACACATCCAATCATATTGGCAGATGGATGCTCACTTGGACCAAGCAATATCCATATGCTCACTTGCTCGGTAAAAACCTCCGATACAGAACCTTTCATGCATCTTGAAGGGCCCATTTAAAGAGCAATACGATAAGGGAATGCCGATCTTACAACGAAAGCTACCCAAAACTGGAAAACACACGTTCTAACGTTCGGCCTACCTTTGTAAATGTATGTGGAACTTCATGAGTACAGTGCACACACACATCCAATCATATTGGCAAATGGATACTCACTTGGACCAAGCAATATCCATATGCTCACTTGCTCGGTAAAAACCTCCGATATAGAACCTTTTATGCATCTTGGAGGACCCATTTAAAGAGCAATACGATAAGGAAATGCCGATCTTACAACGAAGCAACCCAAAACTGGAGAACACGCGTTCTAACATTCGGCCTACCCTTGTTAATGAATGTGGAACTTCATGACGTCGTTCATATTCCATTTAATGTAATCAACATTTCTTTGTCCATGTCTCATAGGCGTTGACGAAGAAATGCGAGTATCAGAGCAAGTACATTCGTTATCTGAAGGCATGCCTCCATAATGCTGTAAAATTGTACGACTTTAAGCGAACCGCAGATAATCTATCTCGTGAATGGTTTTCTTCCAGTAGTGCCAATATACCGATTGGCTTATGTTGCAGAGGCAAACCTCGAAAAAGAGAGTCAACTGAGGCAAAGTGCAGTGGGAGTTTTGTCATGAAGTTCCACATACATTTACAAGGGTAGGCCGAACGTTAGAACGTGTGTTTCCCAATTTTGGGTAGCTTCGTTGTAAGATCGGCATTCCCTTGTCGTATTGCTCCTTAAATGGGTCCTCCGAGACGGATAAAAGGTCCAAATCGGAGGTTTTTACCGAGCAAGTGAGCATATGTATATTGCAAGTACTTATGGGGTGCCTTAAGCACTGTACTCACTTCGGGCCGAGCGTTGAGAACTTGAATGTGGGCGAACCGACGAGGATGCTCCACCTGCAGCATGGCATAAAGGCGCTCTGACTCGTCCACACTGCGGAGAAGGGGGATGTGGAGGAGGGTGGGGCTAGGATAAGGAGAAGCCACTTGAGTGCCCCTGAGGAGGTGAGAAGAGTGCACTGCATTGCTTGGCAGGGATGCTCCACTCCACCTGCAGCATGGTGTAGAGGCGCTCTGACTCGTCCACACTGCAGAGAGGGAGAGGGGGGGGGGGGGATGAGTATTCAAGTTTAACAACATCTGAAACGCCTCCGCGAAGAGTGCACTGCGCTGCTTGGCGGGGATGCTCCACTCCACCTGCAGCATGGCATAGAGACGATCTGACTCCTCCACACTGGGGAAAGTGGGGGAGGGGAGAGTGGGGGGGATGGGATGAGGAAAAGCCGTTTGAGTGCCCTCGGAGGAGGTGAGCAGAGTGCGTTGCGCTCCTTGACGGGGATGCCCCACTCTACCTGCAGCATGGCATAGAGGCGCTCTGACTCGTCCACACTGCATGGAGGAAGGACGTGGAGCACAGGGTGGGAGGTTGGGATGAACGTCAGCATTGAACACATTCGCATTGCCTGCTCCACCTGCAGCATGGTGTAGAGGCGCTCTGACTCGTCCACACTGGTTGAGGTGGAGACGGGGGTGATGGGGAGGAGAGTTGGATGATCGAATCGGAGGAGGCGAATAAAGTTCATTGCATTGAAAGGATGCTTCACTTGCAGCATGGCACAGAGGTGCCGTGACTCGTCCACACTGCAAATAGAGGGAGGAAGAGGAGTAAATACACACACACACAAAAAAAAAAATCTAAAAATTTTACAGCTCCTGCCACAGGTCCGGGCTTGTATGGTTGAGTCAAACCCATATGAATGTGATGTGCCATGTGGATGTGATATGATGTGCCACGTGGATGTGATGTGATATGCCATGTGGATGTGATGTGATGTGCCACGTGGATGTGATGTGATATGCCATGTGGACGTGACGTGAACTGCCATGTGGATGTGACGTGCTTTGCCACGTGGATCATATGATGTGCCCACCTGGATGTGCCTACAAGCACAGGGCGGCCTAGTTGGTTCATTTTGACGATCTCCTGGATGACATGGTGCACCTTGTTGCGCGCTTGCTGTGGGGGGAGCAGGGGGAAGGGGGAGACGGAGTGGGAAAAAAGGCTGCTTGTGAGGCGTTCCAGCAGTAATTTTTACGATCTCCTGGATGACATGGTGTACCTTGTTGCGTGCTTGCTGGAGGAAGAAGGGGCCAAGGGGGAGAAGAGGGGGACTTAACTGACTCGTGAACAGGTTCGAGTAGTCAACCAGGAGAGGGCAAGGGACCCACCAGGAAGACCACGTCGTCCAGGTCCTTCCTGATGTTGGGGCGGTTGGTGGGCTATCACACAGCAAGTTCAGTTCGGGGCGCCATGCCACAGGCTCAGTTAAGGGTACCAGAACCATGAGGGTAATGGACTCACCAGGAAGACAACGACATCCAGATCCTTCCTGATGTTGGGGCGGTTGGTGGGGATGACCACCACTGGCATGCCAAATATTCTCTTGAACTCCTCCTCCTGGGGGACAGGGGAGAGGGACCGGGGAAAGTTTTTAAGAACAAATCATGAACCAAACAAACCATGAACCCCAAACAAAACTCTGCCCCTGCAACGCACCTCCATCTTGGCAGTGCCTGTCATCCTAAACCCTGAACCCAGGCAGAAGAGCGACTGGTAGGTCACCTGCGCAACATGGTATGAGAAACATCCCAACAATACAATTGCACCTTAACCCTAAAACTTTGAGCCCCAACCTGCCCCTTGCTCACCTCCGTCTTGGCGGTGCCTGTCATTCCAGACACCTTGCTGTAGAGGCGGAAAAGCGACTGGTAGGTCACCTGGGCAACATGGTATGAGAAACATCCTAACACTTGCACCTTAAACCCTAAAATTTTGAGCCTCAACCTGCCCCTTGCTCACCTCCGTCTTGGCGGTGCCTGTCATTCCAGACACCTTGCTGTAGAGGAAGAACAGCGACTGGTAGATCACTTCACTTGAACTCCATTAACACAGAGCTATTCAAACAATCAAGCTTGAGCCCCCAACCCTGCCCCTTGCTCACCTCCGTCTTAGCGGTGCCTGTCATTCCCGACACCTTGCTGTAGAGCCGGAAGAGCGATTGGTAGGTCACTTGGGCGACTGTTTCAGACACGGGCTGTCAGGGAGGGGGAGTTAAAGAAGAGAGAGACGGGAATTTGTTTCAGCTGCAGCTGCCAGAGTGCTGCCAGAGTTAGCAGCAAATCATGTATGGATGGAAGAATTGAAGAAGATCGGTATAGGCAAGAGAAAGGGAAATGGGAAAACAGAAGAATTTGAATCCACATTTCTGCACACCGTCCTTTCCCTCACCTTAATCTCCACGCCCTCTTTCGCCTCAACTGCCTGGTGAATGCCATCGCTCCACCTCCGCATGTCTGCTGTTCTCCCTGTGAACTGCAGGTGTTGGGGGGAGGTAGAATGGGAGGGGGACAGGCGCAGGAGTAGGGAAGTGTGTTGAGGCTCCTTGCACTCCTAATGGATGCTGTCGCTCCACCTCCGCATGTCTGCTGTTCTCCCTGTGAAGTGAACTGCAATTGTGCCAGGAGAGGTGGGGAGGAAGGGTGGGAGGAGGTGGGGAAAGGGGCAAGAGGAGGCATGTTGGGGTGAATGCCATCGCTCCACCGCCGCATGTCTGCTGTTCTCCCCGTGAACTGCAGATGTGGCATGAGAGGTGGGAGGGAAGGGTGGGAAGAGGTGGAAGGAGGTGGGAGAAGGGTGGGGGAAGAGCAGAGGCGGGGAAAGGGGCAAGAGGAAGCATGTTGAGGTGAATGCCATCGCTCCACCGCCGCATGTCTGCTGTTCTCCCTGTGAACTGCAGGTGTTGGGGGAGGGAGAAAGGGAGGGGGGAGGTTGGAAGGGAAGGGGGACAGGGACAGGAGTAGGAAGTGTGTTGGGGCTCCTTGCACTCCAGGCGAATACCATCGCTCCACCGCCGCATGTCTGCTGTTCTCCCCGTGAACTGCAGGTGTTGGGGGGTGGGGGGGTGGTTAAGGGGTGCCGTGCCGGGACAGGCCCAATAAGGAAGAAGTGTGTCAAGGCGTCTCAAGATTCCAGTCTACTCCATTTCTACCTGGGCTGGAATGAATGAGATGCTCTTTTACAATCCAGCCTCAAAGGTGAATGCGTTCACACCACTACTGTGTTCCTGCCCGCTGTCCATCCCGTGAACTTGCGGTGATGATGAACAGGGGGGCCCAGGGGAGCCAAGCATCTCATTCATTATTTATCCGATATAGTCACATTAATCAGACATGCCCCATCTCATCGGATATAGTCACACACATCACACATGCCTCATCTCATCCGCTATAGTCACAACAAGAATCACTCACATACCTCGTCCACTATAATCACTTGGCCGTCCTTCACGATGTAGTCCCGATCCCTCAGGTAAAACTCCTTGGCCTTGAGCGCTGTCAGCACAGACCTAGTCCGCGGGAAACAAAGAGGTGGAAGTGTGGGGAAGCGTGGATGGAGAGGTGACATTTGAGTCAATTTAGTCCCAAATCCCAGTCCCTCAGGTAAAACGCTTCGGCCTTGATGAGCGCTGTCAGCACAAACCTAGTCCGCGGGAAACAAAGAGGTGGAAGTGTGGGGAAGCGTGGATGGAGAGGTGACATTTGAGTCAATTTAGTCCTAATCCCTCAGGTAAAACTCCTTTGCTTTGAGCGCCGTCAGCACAAACCTGGGCGGGAAGCAAAGGGGTGGAAAAGGGTAAAGAGTGGGGTGGAGTGAATTGGCGAAGTCGTAAATTCTGATCCCTCAGGTAAAACTCCTTTGCTTTGAGCGCCGTCAGCACAAACCTGGGCGGGAAGCAAAGGGGTGGAAAATGGTAAAGAGCGGGTGGAGTGAATTGGCGAAGTCGTAAATTCTGATCCCTCAGGAAAAACTCCTTTGCTTTGAGGGCCGTCAGCACAAGCCTAGCGAGGGTAAACACGGCGAGGGGGTTCGGAGGGTGAGGATGGGAGTGGCTGTATGGCGGACGAAAGAAAGAGCCATATTCCTGACAAACGAGTTGCTGTTTGCAGGCAAATATACCAACAACACGAGATGCAGCTCACTCACTGCGCAAACGAGTTGCTGCTCTCAAATATATTATCTGAATCTGAGCCGTTGCTTTAAGACATCTCAAAACAACACCTTAATCATGCAGCCCACTCACTGAGCAAACGAGTTGCTGCTCTCAAAGATATCATCTGAATCTGAGCCGTCCCCTCCTTCCCCCCCCAGTTCCCCCCCTTCCCCTTCCCCCTCCCCCTCTGCTGCAGCATCCTCGCTCCTCAAGCTCTCTGCTACAATCGCCACCCCCGAGTCGGTGAGTTGAACCGTACGCAGCTTCAGATCTGCTGTGTAGTCCTGGTGGGGGGATGGGTGTTCGGAGTTTGTTGAGATGGGGGAGGGAGGAGGGGAGAGAGGGATTTTTGTCATGTCTCTGCCACGACCGAAACACCAGAGTCGGCGAGCTACACTGCGCAGTCCTGGTGTGGAGAAGGGGAGGAGAACTGGGGGGTGGGAGGGTTAGGGTATGCATGACATGAGGAAGAGCACAACTCCATAGCGCCAAATCCATGCACACCTTCCACTAATACCACCTGTAAATGAACGACACTTCTAGACGATTTCCTAGGCGTCTCAAAAACCAAACCATGCACACCTTCCACTAATACCCCATGTTAAGAAGACACTTCAAGCCTGTAAACCTATATGTGCCTTGATTGAATGGGTGCACTCACAATGTCCCTTCGAAGGATCTCCGCCACTTTAGCCGCCACTGGAAAGCGCATGACGTAGGAAGAGGACTGCACATGACGAAATAACGGACGGGGCGGGGGAGGGCGGACGGGGCGGAGAGGGCTCACAATCAGAGAAAAAACTGACTGCACGTGAGGATGCATGCACGTGGTGGGAAAGAGAGCACAGACATAGAAAACTGAAGGCAAATGGCTCAAATCCATAGTGGGTTCAGTGCCTCAGGCAATGAGGGCACAGAGATGCTCACCATGTTGCTGCTGATGGGGGTTCCTTCCCTCGTCAATGAGGACCGAGTCAATCTCGTCCACGATGGAGTAGTGCAGCGCGTGAGAGGAAGGAGGCAGGCAGCAGCGACCGGGAAGGCAGCACTGAGGCACTGAGGAACAGAGATGCTCACCATGTTGCTGATGAGCAGCGGGTTCCTGCCCTCGTCAATAAGCACGGTATCAATCTCGTCCACGATGGAGTAATGCAGCGCGTGAGCGCATGAGAGGAAGGCAGACAGGTGGCAGTGACCAGGAAGGCAGCACTGAGGGAGCTGATGCTGATTTCCTGGTCAGCCCTGACTCAAGACTCACCATGTTGCTGATGAGGAGGGGGTTTCTGCCCTCATCAATGAGCACAGAATCGATTTCATCCACAATCAGTAGTGCAGCGCGTGAGAGGAAGGAGGCAGGCAGCAGTGCCCAAAAAGGCAGCACTGAAGCACTAAGGAACAGAGACGCTCACCATGTTGCTGATGAGCAGGGGGTTCCTGCCTTCATCGATGAGCACTGAATCGATTTCATCCACAATGGAGTAGTGCAGTGCGTCTGGCCATCTCAGCGTGCGCTCACTGGGGTCCTGAACCAAGTGATCTCGCAGGTAGTCAAAGCCAATCTCCTGGTATGTGGGTACGGCAGGACAGGGAAGAGACAGTGCAGGAGGGAGGTTTGAGACGTGCCGGGAGTTAATCTCATCTGGCCATCTCACCGTGCGCTTACTGGGGTCCTGAACCAGATGGTCTCTCAGGTAGTCGAACCCAATCTCCTGGTATGTGTGTACAGCAGGACAGGGAACAGCCATGGCAGGACAGGGAACAGCCATGGCAGGACAGGGAACAGCCATGGCAGGACAGGGAACAGCCATGGCAGGACAGGGAACAGCCATGGCAGGACAGGGAACAGCCATGGCAGGACAGGGAACAGCCATGGCAGGACAGGGAACAGCCATGGCAGGACAGGGAACAGCCATGGCAGGACAGGGAACAGCCAGTGCAGGACAGGGAACAGCCATGGCAGGACAGGGAACAGCCATGGCAGGACAGGGAACAGCCATGGCAGGACAGGGAACAGCCATGGCAGGACAGGGAACAGCCATGGCAGGACAGGGAACAGCCAGTGCAGGAGGGAGGTCTGAGATGTGTGAGGAGTCAATCTCATCCGGCCATCTCAGTGTTCGCTCATTCGGATCTTGAACTAGATGGTCCCTCAGGTAGTCGGACCCAATTGTCTTTTAAGGCGCCTCATATTTATGCCATAAATGTGTTACAGCTCTCACTCACTCACGTTGTTACTCCCATATGTTATGTCGCATGCATACGCCAGCTGTCTCTCCTCCTTTGTCTGGCCCGGCTGCGCAAACGACAGAGACATGCAGAAAAGGACAAAAGAAGATGCAGAAAGAGACAAAAGATGCAAGAAAGGGACAAGAGTGCAGAGAAGGCAGAAATACGAGATGGAGATCAAAGGGGCAGCTGGAGAAGACAAGTGATGCAGAGTGGTGCGAGCGATAGAGAAACAAAGAGGGGGTGCTTTCTTTGTTTCTCACTCGCAACCCTGAAATTTGTTTGTGAGAAATCTCAGAAAACAACTCTGGAGGAACACTGCAAGAAAGGCGAGTGCGTCGAATTGGGTGACTCGAAACCCATCCAGTTCAGATAGTTTGTCTGCATATCACACACTCGGTCAAATCACACAAATCTGAATTATGCGTTTCTGTGTCTCAACCCTTGCCCACCTGGATAACCCCCACCGACAGGCCTAAGAACCCGTGCACACGCCCCATCCATTCCGCATCCCCGTCGACTGTGTGCTTCACATCACACTCACCCACCCACCCGCCCACCCACCCACCCAATCACCCCAGTCAAGGTGATTTGCCCACCTGGATGACCCCCACCGACAGGCCTAAGAACCCGTGCACGCGCCCCATCCATTCCGCATCTCTCCTTGCCAAGTAATCATTCACCGTCACCACTGGGGTGGGGGAAGGCAGTGTATGGGACGAGATAAGGGTATGAGATAGGGTATGAGATAGGGTATAGGACGGGAAAATATATGATGGCATGGAAAGCCGTGCACACCCCCCCCCATCCATTCCGCATCCCTCCACTGCCAAGTAATCATTCACCGTCACCACTGGAATAAGATGGGGAAAGGCATAGAAAGGCGGGGGGGAGGGTAAAAAGTGAATTTTAAGAGTGACGGCACCAACTTCACTCCGCATCCCTCCTTGACAAGTAATCATTCGCCGCCACCACTGAAATGGGGAAAGGCAGGGTAAGGCACGGGAGAAGGATGTCGGATAGAGGAGGGTATGGGATGCGGGAAGGGTATATGGTGGAGGAAAATATATGATGGCATGGATATTCGTGCACCCTTCCCATCCACTCGGCATCCCTCCTCGCCAAATAGGCATTAACTGTTACCACTGGGACAGAAAGAAAAAAACGTAGAAAGGCAGGGGAGGGGAAAAGAACGCCCTTCCTGCCAAAAGCCGTCACCATGAACGCACTTTTCCTGATGAGCCCTCCTCACCACGCACACCTTCCCCACACAAGCCCCTCACCATGCACGCCCTTCCCGACAAGAGCGTTGAGGTAAGCTGCGAGTGTGGACACCAGAGTCTTCCCCTCGCCTGCTGTTCAGTGCTATCCTATTCCACTGCATATATACCTTTCCCAGATAAACCCTCACCGTGCACGCCCTTCCCCACGAGGGCGTTGAGGTAAGCTGCGAGTGTGGACACCAGAGTCTTCCCCTCGCCCGTCTTCATCTCTGCTATCGCCCCTGCGTGCAGCACTGCGCCTCCCACGATCTGCAAGAAAGTGGACAAGTGCGGAGAGGAGTGAGGGGGGATGGGACAGGGGAGGAGAGAGGTGGAGTGAGTGCATTGAGACATGTAACTCATCAATCCTTGACTGCTGGTGCATATACACCCATCCATCCACCATCCATCCATCCATCCATCCATCCATCCATCCATCCATCCATCCATCCATCCATCCATCCATCCATCCATCCATCCATCCATCCATCCATCCATCCATCCATCCATCCATCCATCCATCCATCCATCCATCCATCCATCCATCCATCCATCCATCCATCCATCCATCCATCCATCCATCCATCCATCCATCCATCCACCCATCCACCCACACACCTGCACATCGAAGTGCCGCATACTGAGGGTGCGCTTAGCTGCCTCGCGCACCACAGCGAAGGCCTCTGAGGAGCCACGGGAAAGTAGATAGGGGCAGAAGGCAGCACATGCAAAAGCAGCACACAACAGGGACATGAAACTCAGGAGTTTTAACAAAAGGGTAATCGCGTGGTGACCGGGCAAGTGCATGAATTCGAAAAGCAGACCTTTAACCTAAACGATCAATGATGCAACGTAGAGAGTCGAAGGGGATTGAGGGGCGAAGACATCAGTAGCACCTTAAAGCAACTCACACAAGATCTAGAACAGGAAACAGCCTGCACCGCACACAACCGGATCCTACCTGCCTGTATGTCATCCAGCGTCTCCCCCTGCTTCAGCCGCTTCATGAACTCGCGTGTCTTGCGCCGCAACTGCAGCACAGCCAGAGCAAGAGAAGACAGACAGGAGAACCATGTCAGTCAGTGACAGAGTTATCACAAGGTCTGGTCTGCTGGTTGACTCAAGAAACTCTCGGGACCGTCTGAGTTTTTGACCTAAATATTCCTTTTGTGACTGTCGCATGGCCAGCAACAGGTTGGAGTCAGAGTGTTGCTGTACCTAATCAGACGTGCACAGGTTGGAGTCAGAGTGTTCTCACACATCCTCGCACTTTCAGGTCATCGTAACACGCACACATCTGACAGTATCCCCCGCACCTGCTTGTCCGTCAGTGCTTGCATTTCAGGCTCCAGGGCGTTCACTTGTGCCACAAGGTGGCGGAAGTGATGCACCACCCAGGTGTTGAGGGAGAAAATGCCCAGCTTCTTGCTCTTTATCATGTCTAGCGTGCTCTGGAGAGGAGGAGAGAGGGAGGAATTGGCGGTGAGAGGAGAGAAGGGTGTTCTTTTGTGCCACGTGATGCCGGAAGTGGTGCACCACATCACCCAGGTGTTGAGGGAGAGGATCCCCAGCTTCTCGCTCTTTGTCATGTCTAGCGTGCTCTGTAGTGGGGGGAAACGGGGGAGAGAGGCGGAGAGTATGGAGTTCTGAGGGCATGAGCCACGAGGTGGCAGAAGTGGTGCACCACCCAGGTGTTGAGAGAAAAAATGCCCAGCTTCTCGCTCTTTATCATGTCTAGCGTGCTCTGGAACGGGGGTTGGGGGTGGAGTGGAGAGGCGGAGTGTATATAGAATGTTGGGGGGTTGGGCCACGACACGAGGCGGTGAAGCGGAGCACCACACCACCCAGGTGTTGAGGGAGAAGATGGCCAGCTTCTCGCTCTTTATCATGCCTAGCGTGCTCTGCAGATGGGGCCGAGAGAGAGGGGAGGGGAGGAGGAGATGGTTTGGGGGGCTGGGGGATAGAGAGGCGGAGCGTGTAAACTTTGGGAGATTGGGCCAGGGGTTGGGCCACGAGTTGGCGGAAGTGGTGCATCACCCAGGTGTTGGGAGAGGATGCCCAGCTTCTCGCTCTTTATCATGACTAGCGTGCTCTGGAAATGAGGGGGTTGATGGGGTACGGAAGGAAGTAGAGGAGTAGAGGAGAATGAAACATCGTCCCTGTCATGTCGTGTCATGCCATGATACCATCTGTGTCATGCCATGATACCATCCGTGTCATGCCATGATACCATCCGTGTCATGCCATGGTACCATCCGTGTCATGCCATGGTACCATCCGTGTCATGCCATGATACCATCCGTGTCATGCCATGATACCATCTGTGTCATGCCATGATACCATCCATGTCATGCCATCCGCGTCATGCCATGATACCATCCGTGTCATGCCATGGTACCATCCGTGTCATGCCATGGTACCATCCGTGTCATGCCATGATACCATCCGTGTCATGCCATGATACCATCCGTGTCATGCCATGAGACCATCCGTTTCATGCCATGATACCATCCGTGTCATGTCCTGATACCATCTAGTCATGGCATGATACCCATGCTTCCTTGTCATGTCATGATACCATGCCTCCTACCGCTCTCTATAAGAACCTCCATTCACTTCAAATTCCATTCCCTCGCCTCCTTGTCGCATCCACCCCCATCACATACCCTGTGTAATGCAGCCTGCTGTGCGTTGCTCTTTCTCCCAACGGGTACGTTCCCAGACCCCTCGTCAACCGGGTTTCCAGCTGTAACAGCAGCACGCGTGACTGGTAAAAGTGTTTGCCTCTTCCCGCTGCCATCTCTCCCTGCTTTCAAACTCCGCGGCTGAAGATTATTATCCAAACGAACTCCATGCTGCGAAATTTCTTCGGAAAACGAGCAACGTGTAGCACCCGGACGGGATGTAGCTCTATAACGGAATCGCGCGAGACTGTATCGAGGATCGGATAGGCAAGGGACTCGGCGGAGCTGGCCAACTGAATGGAAGAGAGACGTGGAGGATCCTGATTGGCGAAGCAGAGAAGGGATTTCCCCGTGAAGGGGTGACAGAATTGTTGACCGAGCCATGGCGATCCTTCTCGAAGCGCTAGCTTTTCCAGTGATGCGATGCAGCAAGGGTCTATGTCTTTGGAACAGCGCTACGTACTAGAAACACTCTCGTGTCCAATTCCTGGACTTGCCTGCCTGCATCACTTCAAATGTTCGACAAAGAAATGCGCTCCGTAGTTACAACGCTTCGTCAACTGCGGCTCCGTCGACTACGGTCCCTCTGCCAACAGCCCTGCAGTTCACCGCTCGGCTCAAGTCACGCGCACTGGGGAAATCAGGTTGCTCCCAGTTACTTGGTTACTCCCAACCTAGGGAACTCCGGGTACTTGCAGATTGTGCTTCAGAGATGACGCCAGCGAGTACAGAACGGACCCGACTGCATCGGGAGACGAACCTCTTCACGATTCGGTTCGGTTCTTCGCACTCGGTTTTTATTCGGCTCGTAAAGGTTCAGCCTGGTTCTAGCAATAACACAGCTGGGATTGCAAGACGCGGAACAAAACTTGCAAAGTAACTCGAATTGCGGTGCGTACTGCTCAACCTTGTGTCAGGTTCAGGTTCAGGTTCAGTTTGAAAGCAAATACTTTGTGTCGCGTAAAAAGGTGGGCCGGGCTGACTGAAATAACGTGTGCGAAGCAACATCTCGATTCTCCAGCATTTTGTGTCGAACCGAAACTGGAACGCAGATAAGGATCCAGGTGTGTGAAAAGCAGGGTACACCTAGCCAGCTGCTAAAAGCAGTCTGTACATTGTTAAAGATCTCTAAAAGAAGGCTGTCTAGACTTGCTAGTTTGAACTTGGTTCTGAGAGCAGCTGTGGCAATCAATTACAATAAAACATGCCATCGCAACTTCTATAAACAGAAACCATTTCCATTCGAACCCTTCCACCACCTAAACCCCCCCCCCTCTAGGCAGCAGCAGGCTCAGGAGTGTACCAGCCAAGAGAAACCAGTGTGGCGCGCTTGGCCCGGGAGAGCCGAGCCTTGCGGCGCGCACCCTTGTTCTCGTGGATGGCGTTGACCTTCACCGACCGGTCGATAATGGAGAATGCCTCTGAGATGAGCTTCTCTGCTGCCAGCAGCTGCTCCTCCGATGGGGATGCACTCTTGCGCAGCTCCTCCAAGGCAAGGAACGCCTGAGGCAGGAAGAAAAGAAGGGGAAAAAGGGAGAGGGAAACAGAACGATGCATGAGATGAGCTTCTCTGCTGCCAGCAACTGCTCCTCCGATGGGGATGCACTCTTGCGCAGCTCCTCCAGGGCAAGGAACGCCTGGCAGGGAGAAAACGAGGGGAAGATTGGGTTGAGGGAAACAGAAGGCCTCCGAGATGAGCTTCTCTGCTGCCAGCAGCTGCTCCTCCGATGGGAAATCGCTCTTACACAGTTCCTCCAGAGCAGGGAACGCCTGCGGCAGGGAGGGAGAGGAGAGTAAGGGAGAGGGGATTGAAAGGGTGGCGATGCTCGTGTGCTCCTCGGACAGGGACGAGCTCTCTCTCTCATCGTGTGTGCGTCATGTGTACAGCCTCTTGGCCAATCCCCATGCTTCTCACTTCTCTCTGCTGCTGTATACACTCCCTTCGGCCCCCCTTTTCACCCTCCCCTTCCCCCCATTTTGCTTTTTTCCCAAAGAAGCCCGTGCAGTCTAAACGAGCAGCGCCACGCTTCCTGCCTGGTCCCCTCCCTGACATTTGACGATCCGAGGCCCCATGACTGAATCACTCAACTATCACCCTGCTTGCTCCCTCCATTTATCCCCTCAAATATTCCCGCCAAATTCATTCCCTCTCTCCTCTCCCTGACATTTGACGATCTGAGGCCCCATGACTGAATCTCTCAACTATCACCCTGCATCAGTCCACCATCACTCTGCTACACTCTGCTTCAGTCTGCTACCAAATAGCTTCGGACAGTAAGAACGTGGCATTGCATCACCTCCGGTTCCCATTGTGCTGACTCAAGACACGATGCTAGGTCACCCTTTCTCTCTCTCCTTCCTCCTCCTACTTCCATCACCCTCTCTCTCCGTCCGCAAACCACTTCACGCACACGTCGACTCCTTCCTCTCTTCCCATCAATTCATTTGCCCCTTTCCTCCTTCCGCTTCTCGGACCCGCCCTCTCTCCCTCCCCCTTCCCAGCCTTTCAATCGCCCTCTGTTTCTCACTGCCTCTGACGTCCCCCCCTCCCTCCTCCGTGGCAGAATCTCTTTTTCGCCTTCCCCTCCTTTAATCCCTCCTGCTTATATCCTTCCACCTTATTTCCTGCGTATTGCCCTGCTTGATCCCTCCATTTATCCCCTCTTTATTCCCGCCAAAATTAATCCCTCTCTCAATCCCGCAGTTGCCGCAACTCCTGCCTCCCCAGCTCCGCATCTCATACGTCCGCATCATCGCTTCCGCCTCCCCTCTTCCGTCCCCCTCTTCGGCCATCCCTCTTCCGCCTCCCCTCTTCCTCCTCCCCGGTTCCACCTTCCCGATTCCTCTTCCTCTCCTTTCCTGCCTCAAAAAGTCGGCCCCCTGTTTCCGCATCCAAACCACCCTTGCTCCGCGTCCCCCCCTATTCCCTCCGTCTCCGTCCTCCTTACCCCCGGTTCATTCGCTGTTTCCGATCCAGCCTGGCCTACTGCGAGCAGCTATCAGCTCACCTTCTTCATGGGCGTGCTCATCTCCGCCTTGGGCGAATGTTTTTACACCCGCCGCGCCTCCGCCTGCTTGGCGCGCTTCAGAGAATTCTCAAACACTCCCTGCTGCACAACCCACCTTCTTCATGCGCGTGCTCATCTCCGTCTTCCGCGACTTGTTGTACACCCGCCGCGCCTCCGCCTGCTTGGCGCGCTTCACGGCCGAGTCCACCTTCTTCTTCGGCTTGCCCTTGCCGGCGGCGGCAGCCACGGCGGGAGTGGCGGCGGCGGCGGCGACCACGGCGGGACACCTGACCGCGGCGACGACAGCGGATGGCCGGGTAGCAGCTGCGAAGGATGAGGGAAGCGGCCGGGGCAAAGAGATGGGGGAGGGAAGGAGGGGGAGAGGGAAGGGGGGAGGGGAGATGGAGATGGGGGGAAAGGGGAGTTTGGAGGGTAAATGAGCAACGGTTGAGCTCTGCATTGGTTGAGTCGCCGCCTGCTTGGCGCGCTGCACGGCCGAGTCCACCTTCTTTTTCGGCTTGCCCTTGCCGGCGGCGGCAGCCACGGCGGGAGTGGTGGCCGCAGCAGCTACAACGGGAGTCCTGCTGACGGCGGCGACAGCAGATGGCCGAGTAGCGGCTGAGGAAGGGGAGCGCGAGGGAGGGAGCACAGGGGGGAGGGGGGGTGGTAAGGGTGGGTGTGGAGAATGGGGATTGGGAGAGGGATGAGCAACGGTTGAGCGGGGCACAAGTGGGCCTGCTCAATGACTGAGTCACCGCCCTGCTTGGCGCGCTTCACGACCGAGTACCCGTCTTCGGCGGGAGTGCTGGCGGCGACCACGGCGGGACTCCTGCTGGCAGCGATGACAACAGATGGTCGGGTAGTAGTTGCGAATGATGGGAGAAGAGGTCCTAGGGGGCAGATAAGGGGAACGAGGGGAAATGGAGGAAGGGGGGAGTGGGCAGGAGGGGAAGGGGCCGGGGAGATTGTTGACGTGGAGAGGGGAGGTGAGTGGGTGTGACGGGAAATCAACCCAAAAAAAAAAGTGGGCTTCGGACAGCTGCAATGCGGGCTTGTGTCGTTCAAGCGAACAGCCCAGAAACACCGAACGTGACTGGGACAGGGAAACAGGTTTGGCAATTGGGAAATGAGAATGGCCGGGAACAGCTACGGCTGATTCTTAGGTAATAGGCAACTCAAACGCCTGCGGCTGACCCTTAGGCTGTAGGTAACTAGGAAATCTACTACGGCTTTTAAGGAAATAGCTCGAGCCCAATCAGATCACTTACTTTCACGTTCTACCTCGGCTTTAAGCGCTCGCTCCTTGGCATTGCACCTGACTAGTGCACGATCTTTCACATTTCATCTGATGAGTTCACATTGCGCACTACGCAGTGAATATCTCACTCGAAGCAACTAATCGTTGAGTTCTTCAATAACGTACCAACGAACCAGCAGCCGGGGATTGAAACCCTAAGTGAGTCTCTACGCATTTCCGTACGCGGTTAACATCCGCACTTGAAGCACAGGATAACTATGCGTCCAAAATCAATCACAAGCGTACCAGCGAGCCGGCAGCCGCGGAAGCTCGACACCCTAAGTGAGTCTCCAAGCGACACTCTGCTGGACGAGGCCGATAGTTGATGGGAGGAGAGAGACAGCGACCCCAGGGCCTGCGCGGCTGCTTGAATGCTCAAAGAAGCCATGACTGGTTGCTCTAGCACCAAGCAGATAGCTGCTAGAGGTCCTTAGGAGACGGTGCGGCAAGAAGGGATTTGAGGATAAGGTGAAGGGGCTAAGGACCGACCGGGATAATCTCTCGGAAAAATGTTCCACTCCTAAGGTCACCCAACAGATTAGGTTTCAATTCAAGTGTAGTTCGATACAAGCTCGGGTGCTGTGAAGGTGGTCAGCGAAGAAGGGTTACCACCACCATTAAGTTCGTCACTTGAGTCAGTGGACCCAGGGATAGAAGGGGTTGGCACGACATGTGGCAGGGACGGACGTGCTCCGCGTGGCGTGGCGTCCTCTTGTTGGTTTTGACGTTTAGGCTGACGTGGCCTCATCCGTGGCTTTGAGGTGTTTCGAACCTACTTTTGGGAGTTGTGAAAACCAGTCTTTTCCTCCAAGCAATTTGTAGGTTCAAATCAGCATCTGATACCTCTTGAGAAAAATGCATTAATATCACTTTTTGCAGAAAAAACAGGTGATACTTCACTTTTTCGATTCATGGAAGACAATTTGCAGCATATTAAATAGTAAAATTACTAATTTATGATATTTATGCTATCGTTCATAAAAAGTGACGATACTCTATATCATTTTAGAGGTGTCTGTGCTGTGACTGCCTGCATTATATACAGTCCGATGTCGGCTATTTGAGGACTTCATGTCAGTGACAGCGATTCGGCCGATGACGTCAACCAACGGACTTTGAGTAAGACGTCAGGCTTCTGACACTCAGCAGCGGACGTGGCGCCCAAAGCAACATTGACCAGGCAGCGAAGAGCGGGAATTTCGCTCCTCGAAGACTTCGAACACTTCCTGCAGGAGGATGTCTCCGCTTCTCTCAATCCTGAAGAGTTACATGATCATGGGGAGTTTCATCCTGAGCCTCTAGAGTTTACAGCATGAGATTTGTCAGAACGACTCCACATCGCATGATCATGCGATGCGATCTTAGTGTGATCGCGTAATTACGCTGCCGTTGTGTGTCAACTAAATATCACCTTCCCTCCGTCCAATCGCGCCAGTGGAGACAGCTCTTTTGACAGTCCAATGCCTGATGCCCACCTAATACAGGAACCCATTAGTTATGTGGGAGTTTGAGTGAGGTTATTTAAACAAGAAAGGAGGTAGCGGAGACAGTTGCATAAGCTATCGCCGCTCAGATTCCAGACCCGACGTTCTGAGGCTAGACGAGTATTTCCTTATACACGCCTCTCTGGCTTCCTTAGCGTAGTGTAAGAAAGTCCTCCTCGAAAACGTCAGCGCGTTTGTGACGATGAATGCTAACTACGAGCGGCCGTCAAATCCCACTTTTGAAGACCTTGCTAACGCAAACCTTGCGCAGCCGTTATTGTCGCTGTGACGATTAGGCACGTACGTGTACATATCGTGCATCACGATTTTTAGCCGTAACTAGTATGTCCCAGTCATAACATACCGTGTTAGGTTAGATTACTCAAAGAGGAGCCGTAGTTTAGACTTCGGAGCCGCCACTTGCAATGGGTGTGGCGGAGGAGCAGCTGGTGGAGCAAGAGAAGGAATGCGAACATTTACGAAACACTCCCTGCGCGTCACCCTATTCAAGTTCTCGTCGGCACAACGCACATTCGCCCAGGATCGTATCCTTTCAAACGGCTATGAAGATCCTGTTCTTTCTTACCCTCGTCTTACTAATATGCGGTTTTCGAGTGATGCTGCAAGGGGGACAATCGGCAAGTAGCGTCTCAGCTGAAATTCTCTCTTTGCTAGGTACTGACGATAGAGAAAACCTTCCAGTAACGGTCTACATCACATCCCCACGATACGTTAACCTAACCCTTATCATGTCGAAGTCTTGTATGAGAACACTGAGATCGACTTTTATTACCAAAGTGAGGAAGGAAAAGTTAGTAAATCTGGTTGGGCCTTGTCAAGCCAGCGCGTGCGCTTCATTCAAGGAATGGGCTCGGCGCGCTGCTGCTAGAGAAGCTGAGGCGAATCGTCTCTTTTCGCTCGAACCTGGTAGCGGAAGTCGTAGCACGGGAACGACCAGTGCTAACACCAGTAGCAGCACCAGCAGCAGCGACGACACGAGTAACGACAATGCCAGTGGTAGCAGCAGCAGCAGCGGTAGCGACAATGACCTTTCTTCAATTAGAGACAGCAACGGCCGCGACGATAACAGCAGGCGAGACAGCAGTGTCGGGGAGAAGTCTACTGACGATAGCAACGAAAGTAACACCGAAAGTAGCAACGAAAGTAGCACTGAAGCAACCGCTGTTGATTCTTCAGCTCCGTTGAATGCGTCAACCAGCGGCCGCAAAGAGCGGCGGTTACAGGAAGTGTCTAATCCGGATTATACCGAGGTGGAGCAACGTCAGAATGGCGGATTCGGCGTGCTATGCAGCCAAAGGTGGCACCAAGACTTGTTACATCGGGTTACCAGCAAGAATCACCTGATATCGGCGTTCAACTTGGGATATGTTAGTGCTGAGAACATATCAGAGGGGGTGACGAAAGTGTGCGACCGCATGCGACAGGTGGAGAGGTCGCTGGCGAATGAGAGCGCGTCGCAGTGCGAGCAGTGGCCGGAGTCGTGCTGGCCGGTTCCCCACGTGCCGTTCTCCTTTCTCAGTGTACGTTGCTTATCTGAAAAATGAAAATTTTGGTGTATAAAGGTGACTTTTGAGTCCACTCACAAGTCACCTCGCAGTGCGAGCAGTGGCCGGAGTCGTGCTGGCCGGTTCCCCGCGTGCCGTTCTCCTTTCTCAGTGTACGTTGCATCTCTGAGAAACCAGAGTCATGTTATTCAGTCCAGTCTTGGTTACTTTTGAGACGTCTCAAAAGTTGACTTTTGGGACGTCTCAAAAGTCGTGCTGGCCGGTTCCCCACGTGCCGTTCTCCTTCCTCAGTGTACGTTGCATCTCTGAGAAACCAGAGTCATGTTATTCAGTCCAGTCTTGGTTACTTTTGAGACGTCTCAAAAGTTGACTTTTGGGACGTCTCAAAAGTCGTGCTGGCCGGTTCCCCACGTGCCGTTCTCCTTTCTCAGTGTACGTTGCATCTCTGAGAAACCAGAGTCATGTTATTTAGTACAGTCTTGGTGTAGCATGGTCTCGGAATCTTGTAGCTGTGACTTTTGTGTTTCTGTCATCCGTTTTGCAACTGCTGATTACCACCTCTGATCATTCCCCCCTGCTAGTCACACCATGCTGCAGATGAGCTACGCCACCCACGCCCACACCCACACCCACCCACCGTTCTGCACTCCTCCTTTCTTCCCCTTCCCTCAAAACTTCCCTCGGCGCAAGTACCTGGTGGTGGCGTTCACCATGGAGCAGATGAGCAACGCCACGCACAACCTCACCCATACCCACACCCACCGCACTGCACTCCTCCCTTTCAGGACTTCCCTCGGCGCAAGTACCTGGTGGTGGCGTTCACCATGGAACAGATGAGCAACGCCAGAACGCACCTGGCAGAGGCTGCTCGCGTGGCAGAGGAATCCGGGCGCATCCTCGTGTTGCCCAATGTGAGTGATGTTGGTAAAAGCACAAGGTGGATGCTTGTTACTTCTGAGTTGACTGAAAGGGCTGCTCGCGTGGCAGAGGAATCCGGGCGCATCCTCGTGCTGCCCAATGTGAGTGCTGGTCCATGAAGGGCCAAGGTGGGTGTTGTGCAATATACGCCCACGGTGGGTGTTGTGCAATATAGGTCCACCATGGGTGCTGTTATTGAGGCGCCTCAAGAATAGGCTGCTCGCGTGGCGGAGGAATCCGGTCGCATCCTCATGCTGCCCAATGTGAGTCCCGGTCCATGTCTTATGACCAAGGAGGGTGTGGTGCAATATAGGCCCACCGTGGGTGTTGTGCAATATAGGCCCACCGTGGGTGTTGCGCAATACAAGCGGACTGCAGCCGTCTCTCAGTGGCGCGCCAGCATGCGGTGTGCTCCTACCGGGACTTCTCACACTTCTTAACCAGTTGTTCATCCCACACCACCCATCACATGACCCCCACCTTTCTCCCTTCTAGGCGGACTGCGGCCGTCTCTCAGTGGTGCGCCAGCATGCGGTGTGCTCCTACCGGGACTTCTCACGCTTCTTAACCAGTTGTGACCCCCACCTTTCTCCCTTCTAGGCGGACTGCAGCCGTCTCTCAGTGGTGCGCCAGCATGCGGTGTGCTCCTACCGGGACTTCTCACGCTTCTTAACCAGTTGTTCATCCCACACCACCCATCACATGACCCCCACCTTTCTCCCTTCCAGGCGGACTGCAGCCGTCTCTCAGTGGCGCGCCAGCATGCGGTGTGCTCCTACTGGGACCTCTCGCGCTTCTTGACGCGCCGTACCCACCCCACAAACTACCCACCATGCACCATCCCTCCTCTTCCCTCCCCTCCAGGCGGACTGCAGCCGTCTGTCAGTGGCCCGTCAGCACCCCCTGTGCTCCTACTGGGACCTCTCGCGCTTCTTGTGAGCCTTACCCATCGCACACCACCCATGACACCCATCTTTTCCCTATCCAGGCTGACTGCAGCCGCCTCTCGGTGGCCCGCCAGCACCCCCTGTGCTCCTACTGGGACCTCTCGCGATTCTTGCAGTACATCACCCATCGTGTGTTCCCCTTTATCCCCCTTTCCCCCTTCCAGGCGGGCTGCAGCCGGCTCTCAGTGGCCCGTCAGCACCCACTGTGCTCCTACTGGGACCTCTCGCGCTTCTCCCGCGTGGAGTGGGTGTCTTCCGAGTTCTTCCTCCTCACTGCCCGTGCCGCCTTCCTCAACCCCACTGTGGGCTTCGTGTGTGTCAAGACAGAGTCCCTGAAGCGGCCCTGCTTCAAGTACCGTGAGTGGGGGAGGGGAGGAGAGGAGAGGAGAGGAGAGGAGGGAGGGAGGGAGGGAGGGAGGGAGGGAGGGAGGGAGGGAGGGAGGGAGGGAGGGAGGGAGGGAGGGAGGGAGGGAGGGAGGGAGGGAAGGAGGGAGGGAGGGAGGGAGGGAGGGAGGGAGGGAAGGAGGGAGGGAGGGAGGGAGGGAGGGAGGGAGTGAGGGGGAGGGAGGGAGGGAGTGAGGAAGGAGAAGGAGAGGAAAGGGGGGTTGAGAGCTGGTGGAGATCCTGGGACAGATGCTGGCATGTGCCATGGGGCATGTGCCATGGGGCATGTGCCATGGGGCATGTGCCATGGGGCATGTGCCATGGGGCATGTGCCATGGGGCATGTGCCATGGGGCATGTGCCATGGGACATGTGCCATGGGGCATGTGTTGTGGGGTATGTGTTGTGGGGCATATACCCTGGGACATCTGGGGTATGCGCCATGCGGTATGCGCCATGCGGCATACGCCATGAGGCATGTGCCATGGGGCATGTGCCTATGCATCGACGGATTGCGAGTTTCCACATCATTGACAAACTTTTTCTTGTGATGCTGCATGGTGCATGATGTATGGTGCATGGTGCATGGTGCATGGTGCATGGTGCATGGTGCATGGTGCATGGTGCATGGTGCATGGTGCATGGTGCATTCTGCATGGTGCATGGTGCATGGTGCATGCTGCGTGCTGCATGGTGCATGCTGCATGGTGCTTGGTGCATGGAGCATGCTGCATGGTGCATGGTGCATGCTGCGTGGTGCATGGTCCATTATCCAGGGGAACTAGTGGCGGTATTGGGGCAGGTGCTGACATTTGCCATGGGGCATGTACCCGTGCCCAGCTTCATTGGACACATGTCATATAATTGACCATTTGTTTCTTCTGTGTGATGTTACATGGTTCATGGTGCTTATTTTGTCATGCAGGGGAACTAGTGGCGATACTGGGGCAGGTGCTGACATTCGCCATGGGGCATGTGCCCGTGCCGGTGCCACGTATTTGATTACTTGTTTCTCTTTCTGTGATGCTGCATGCTGCATATTGCCTGTTGCCCATCATGCAGGGGAGCTAGTGGGGATCCTGGGGCAGGTGCTGACATTCGCCATGGGGCATGTGCCCGTGCCCAGCAACACCATCGATGTCAAGATGCCGCAGACGAAGGAAGTCTTCAACATGCTTCTCCACGCATGGTCAGTCAACGAGTTGACTTGTGAGTTTACTCAAAAGTCAACTCGCCATGGGGCATGTTCCCGTGCCTAGCAACACCATTGGCATCAAGATGCCGCAGTCTAAGGACGTCATAAATAGGCTTCTGCACGCATGGTCAGTCTACACGGGTGTGACTAATTATGCTACTCCATCCATGCTCAGTATGTCAAAAGGCGTTTTCTTTGTGCGCTTCCTTCCCCATGCATGCATGGACGGTCTACATACTTTTGTGATGTGCCCCTCCGTTTTGCCCCTTTTGAGTCGACTCAAAAGTCACCTCGTTTTCTTCGTGCGCTTGCTTCCCCATGCATGCATGGACAGTCTACATACTTCTGTGATGTGCCCCTCTGCACATGGTCGGCTTAAAAACCTCTTGTATATCCTTCTTTGTGCAGGAGCGACAGGGACGTGGTGGTATGAATGACAACAACCTTCCAGCGCGTGCCGAGGACAGATGTGGATGTGACCCCTGTGTGGTTTCCTACGTTCGTGTGTGTGTGTGTGTGCTCGCACTGCTGTGTGCCATGCGTGCAGGAACGACTGGGATGTGGTGGTGTGGATGAAAACAACCTAACAGCGCATCCAGTACGTGCCGAGGACAGACGTGGTTGTGACCCCTGTGTGTGCGCTCCTATGTGTGCCTGCCCCTGCTTGCGCACCTCCGTATGCAGGAATGACCGGGATGTGGTGGTGTGGATGAAAACGACTTACCAGCGCATCCAGTACGTGCCACGCACAGATGTGGTTGCGCGCGCAGTGCTGCCATACCGGGCCACGTGGCACGACATGGCTGCTCAGATCATTGCGAAGCTGCCCAAGCCAGTCATTGGCGTGCACTTCCGATCAGAATTCATCTCCTGGAACGTGGTACGTACCCATGGGATCCGTACTGGTCGCGTGGGCACTGGCTTGAGGGCCAAACAGAGGAGAAAAGGCATGAAAACTAGTCCAGTGCTTGGAGTGCGCTTCTGGTCTATGAGTGCATCTCATAGCAGTGCTGCCATACCGGGACACGTGGCACGACATGGCTGCTCAGTTCATTGCGAAATTGCCCAAGCCAGTCATAGGCGTGCACTTCCGCTCTGAATTCATCTCCTGGAACGTGGTATGTATAATGCACCCATGGGACATCATGACTAGAACAAAGCACGTGTCCCGCGTGTGTGAGCGACCCTTCCTTGACTGCCCAAGCCGGTCACTGGCGTGCACTTCCGATCGGAATTCATCTCTTGGAACGTGGTATGTATAATGCACCCATGGGACATCATGACTAGAACAAAGCACGTGCCCCCCGTGTGTGAGCGACTCTTCCTTGGCTGCCCAAGCCAGTCATTGGCGTGCACTTCCGCTCCGAATTCATCTCTTGGAACGTGGTACGTGCCCGTGGTAGTTGTCTCGTGCCGGTAAACTACTCTCCTTGACTGCCAAAGCCAGTCATTGGCGTGCACTTCCGCTCCGATTTCATCTCTTGGAACGTGGTACGTGCCCTGCGGGAAGAGGTGTAAGGGTGGGTGCTGGTTTGAGAAGTTAGCCGACAGAACAACAAGCAAGTGCAGTCATTGGCGTGCACTTCCGCTCCAATCTCATCTCCTGGAACGTGGTACGTACTCATGGTACGGAATTGCGAGACGTCTCAAAACTCGACTTCTTTCACGTGACTGGAACAAGGTATGTGCTGGGGAAAAACGGTTACTGCAAAGGAGCAAGCGATCAAAGAAAGCCAGTCATAGGGTTGCACTTCCAGTCTGTGAGTTCATCTCATGACAATGCTGCCATACTGTGCCATGGCATGACAGCGTTTTTTGAGACGTCTCAAAATTCCTTTCTGATCTCCCTCCTCGCGTTCATTCCCATCCTTTCTCTGGCTGCCCTCTTCCAGGTGGAAGGCCTCAAAGGCAACTCGACCTGGGAGGAGGTGCAGAAGCAGCTGCAGCAGCATTGCTTGTGAATTTTCGAATTTTGAGGCGCCTCAAAAGCTGCGGCTGCGGCAGCAATGCTTGAGGATACTCGAAACTCCTCTCTGATTCCTCTTCCCTCTCAATATCTCCCCTCCCTTTTCTTTGATTCCCCTCCCCTCTCTCTCTGATTCCTCTCCCCTCTTTCTGATTCCTCTCCTCTCTCTCATACGCCAACGTGACTTGGGAGGAGGTGCAGAAGCAGCTGCTCCAGCAATGCTTAAGAATTCTCGAAACTCCTCTCAGATTCCTCTCCCCTCTCTCTGACTCCCCTCCCGTCTTTCTGATTCCCCTCCCCTCTTTCTGATTAGTCTCCCCTCTCTCTGGTTGCCCTCCACCAGGCACAAGCCTTAAACGCCCACTCGACCTGGGAGGAGGTGCAGAAGAAGATGCGGCAGCAAGGCTAAAGGATTCTCGAAACTCCTCTCTGATTCCTCTTCCCTCTCAATGATTCCCCTCCCCTCTCTCTGATTCCTCTCGCCTCTCTCTGATACGCCAACGTGACCTGGGAGGAGGTGCAGGAGCAGCTGCTGCAGCAGTGCTTGAGGATTCTCGAAACTCCTCTCTGATTCCTCTCCCAGGCGCAAGACCTCAAAGGCAACTCGACTTGGGAGGAGGTGCAGAAGCAGCTGCAGCAGCAATCCTTGAGGGTTCTCGAAACTCCTCTCTGATTTCTCTCCCCTCTCTCTGATTTCCCTCTCCTCTCTCTGGTTGCCCTTCCCCAGGCACAAGCCTTAAACGCCCACTCGACCTGGGAGGAGGTGCAGAAGCATCTGCAGCAGCAATGCTTGACGATTCTCGAAACTCCTCTCTGATTCCTCTCCCCTTTCTCCGATTTCTCTCCCCTCTCTCTGATTCCCCTCCCCTCTCAATGCTTGCCGTCCCCCAGGCACAAGCCTTAAACGCCAACGTGACCTGGCAGGAGGTGCAGAAGAAGATGCGGCAGCAGATGGCAGTGTGCGTGCAGGGGGCAGCAAGCAAAATCAATCAAGTCAGGAAACAACAACAGGAACAGCAGGATAAGCAAAAGAGGCAGCAGGGACAGGGTCAGCAGCAGGAGCAGCAGCATGAGGAGCAGAAGCAGCAGCAGCAGCAGCAGCAGCAGCAGCAGCAGCAGCAGCAGCAGCAGCAGCAGCAGCAGCAGCAGCAGCAGCAGCAGCAGCAGCAGCAAGGGTTAATCAACGGGTTAGGGCAAGTGGTGGAAGGGCCGACGGTCTTCATAGCAGCAGACATCCCGTTCAATGCCTCACCTGCGGTCCAACCGCGGTCAGAGTCATGGCAGAGCATGGAGGTGTGGCTGGGGCGGGAGAACACGGGCCGGGCGTCCAGAGGAGCGCTGCAATGGCTCCGGCAGCACGTGGGGGGGACGCTCATGATCGATGAGGTCGTGCCCGCTGTCAATGCCTACGACCCAGGTAGGTGCAGTTTGGTGCGTTTGAATGCGGTTGGGGGCGGTTGGGAGTGGTTAGGAGTGGTTGGGTGCGGTTGGGAGTGATTGGGAGTGGTTGAGTGTGGGCGCCAACAGGCAGCCTTCATAGCGGCAGACATCCCGTTCAAGGCGTCGGCTGCAGTGCTGCCGCGGTCAGAGTCATGGCAGAGCATGGAGGTGTGGCTGGGGCGGGAGAACACGGAGCGGGCGTCCAGAGGAGCGCTGCAATGGCTCCGGCAGCACGTGGGGGGGACGCTCATGATCGATGAGGTCGTGCCCGCTGTCAACGCCTACGACCCAGGTGGGTGCGGTTTGGTGTGGTTTGGTGCGGTTGGGTGCGGTTGGGTGCAGTCTGGGTGTGTTTGGGTGTGGGAGTGGGTGTACATGTGCACATCCCCGTCCCTGCCTCTGGCAGCACGTGAGGGGAACGGTCATGATCGATGAGGCCGTGCCCGCTGTCAACGGCTACGACCCAGGTGGGTGCGGTTTGATGTGGTTGGGTTTGGTTGGGTGCGGTTGGGTGCGGTTGGGTGCGGTTGGGTGCGGTTGGGAGTGGTTGGGAGTGGGTGAGTGTGGGCACCAACAGTGTTCATAGCGGCATACATCCCGTTCACAGGGCGGTACTGCCTGCTCACAGCATTTAAGCTACCACACCCAATCCCTCCTCACCCCTGTCCTTTCCCCTTTCTCTCCCTCCCAGGCATCGTGTCGATCCTAGACAAGCTTGTGATAGCCAAGGCAGATATATTCGTGCCAGCAGGGAGATACTGCAGGCTCGAGATACCACACTCAATGCCTATTCCTCCCTGCCCTTCTCCCTGCCTTTCCTCTTTCCCTCTCTCCCTTTCAGGGATCGTGTCAAACCTAGACAAGCTAGTGACCGCCAAGGCCGATATATTCCTGGCAGCAAAGCAGTACTGCAGGCTCACAGCACCCAACATACCTCACTCGACGCCTCTTTTCCCCTATTCTTTCCCCTTGTATTTCCACTCCGCCCTACCCCATCCCAGGCATCGTGTCGATCCTAGACAAGCTAGTGATAGCCAAGGCAGATATATTCGTGGCAGCAGAGCACTATTGTGGGGGGAAGAGGGGCTTTGAATCGGACATTCTGCAGCACAGAGATGAGTACGGGCAGGCAGAAGACAGCGTTGTGCGATGGGGATACAAGTCATAGCCTGCAGAGGCCTCCTCTGATAGTGTAGCTGTCAGGTCACAGGCCGTTCTGTTTGGTGGCTTCCTGTGAAGCCGAGAGTGCAGGATTGTGGCTTCGAGTCGGACATACTGCAGCACAGGGACGAGTATGGGCAACCAGAAGACAGCGTTGTGCGATGGGGGTACAAGTCATAGCCTGCAGAGGCACAGTGAAGAGCTTGGTAGGCTTGAAAGAAAACGGTCATGTGGGAGAAGATTGCACACTAGCGGTAGGTACTTTAAATCAAGTGTGGGGCTTGTACACAGCTAGGCCGGCATGGTGTTCGATAGACTTGACTTTAACCCAAACTGATTCGATCTGACTGTATGGACGACATTGCTCCATGCACCTGTGTAATACGCAACCACCGCGTGGGTGGCAAAATTTGTCTCTGTTGGTTGTAGCAAGTAGCCTCTTTCAAGGTGCCTTGACAAATGAGCAGCTGCAGCAGCATTCGTTTGCACTGGTTTTAGCAAGCAGCCTCTATGGAAGATGCAGGGATGTAGTGCTACACTCCTGATCGATTATGCATAGAAATCCATTATATAAGATAACGATAGTATGGGGCCAACAGTTGTGGTACCTGTTTGCTTTTCAGAGCAGTGGGCATCAGGGTGGTGGTTCAAATGATGCACTCAACTTTAAAGCCCGAGTCCCAAATTGCGGGCCGCGCGGGTCAAGCTTTTAAAACTTGACGAACTAGTGTTTTCAAGGTTTGAAGAAAAGCGTGCCTGCAATTTGGGACTTTTGGGAACTGAACCAACCCCCAGGGCGAAATACGAGGGCGGGCTGGGTTTGGCGAAAAAAACGAAAAAAGCGAAATCGGAATCTTTCGCCAAAACCCTCACCACAAAAACCCCCTCGCGTCAACCTTTTAAAACTTGTGCAATTTGGGCTGCCGGCTTTAAGGGCTCCATACGGTATTTGACAGGATTTCCACGTCCTGTTTCCTTCAGCTTGCGCCTTTTAAAACTTAGCGAAACTACACTACCCCATCCAGGGGAGGCCGCTTGAACACGTGTTGGTTTGTGGCAGCTGTGTAATTGGGCCAATCACAAGGCGCCAGATGTCAAGGAGTATGGTAACCAGCATGGATGCTCCGAGAGAGTCAACTGCCACTCGGGAGAGAGGCCAGCTGTCTGATGGGTCCTCATCGATTCTGCATGAGGGAGTTGAAAGAAGGGGAGATGAATGGAAAGGAGGGGAGGTTTTTGAGGCGACTCATAAACATGCTCCGAAGCGAAGGAGACGAGTGCTACTCGGGAGAGAGACCATCAAGCAATTCTGGAAGGGAGAACAGGGAGGAGAGGAGGAGAGGGAGTGGAAGAAGAAGGGGAAACTGAGAACGAAGAAGAGCGCAGGTGGGGAGGAGGGGACGGTGTATAGAGCCACTCCCACCCACACACATGTCCATGAATGTGACGCCCACATGTACCCACACAGACACGCAGATAAGCCCACACGCCCAAGCATGAACGCACTGGAAGAAGAAAGGGAAGCTGACGACAAAGTAGAGAGAATAGAAGAGTGTGCCAACACGGTACATGGTGGCACAGGGATGGAGAGCTAGCACACCCACACGCAGCCACATGCCATTGCTATCACACGCAAGCACGGATATGCACACGCAAGCACGGATATGCACACGCAAGCACGGATATGCACACGCAAGCACGGATATGCACACGCAAGCACGGATATGCACACGCAAGCACGGATATGCACATGCAAGCACGGATATGCACACGCAAGCACGAATATGCACACGCAAGCACGGATATGCACACGCAAGCACGGATATGCACACGCAAGCACGGATATGCACACGCAAGCACGGATATGCACACGCAAGCACGGATATGCACACGCAAGCACGGATATGCACACGCAAGCACGGATATGCACATGCAAGCACGGATATGCACACGCAAGCACGGATATGCACACGCAAGCACGGATATGCACACGCAAGCACGGATATGCACACGCAAGCACGGATATGCACACGCAAGCACGGATATGCACACGCAAGCACGGATATGCACACGCAAGCACGGATATGCACACGCAAGCACGGATATGCACACGCAAGCACGGATATGCACACGCAAGCACGAATATGCACACGCAAGCACGAATATGCACACGCAAGCACGGATATGCACACGCAAGCACGAATATGCACACGTGCACACACGCACGCACCGGAAGAAGAAAGGGAAGCTGACGACAAAGTAGAGAGCGTAGAAGAGTGTGCCAACGCGGTACATGGCTGCCTTGTCTACAAAGGTGTAGTACTCAAACTGATGAGAGGGAGGGATGGATGTGAGGGGGGGGGGGGATGGAGGGAAATGCATCTGAGCTAACAGGCGTGAGACATGGCTGCCTTGTCCACGAATGTGTAGTACTCAAACTGATGGGAGGGAGGGTGAGGGGAGGGAATGGTGGGAGGCCCCTAACCGACGGCAAAATAAAGCGCGTAGAAGAGTGTGCCGACTCGGTACATGGCTGCCTTGTCAACGAAGGTATAGTACGCGAACTGATGAGAGGGAGGGAGAGGGGAGGGATTGGTGGGAGGCCTCTAACTGACGACAAAGTAGAGAGCGTAGAAGAGGGTGCCGATACGGTACGTGGCTGCCTTGTCCACGAAGGTGTAGTACTCAAACTGATGAGAGGGATGGATGGATGTGAGGAAGGAAGGTGAGGGAGCGGTGGGAGGGAGGGTGTGCGACGAGCACAGTGAACGAGTAACGAAGTGGAGAGCGTAGAAGAGCGTGCCAAGGTGACTTTTGAGTCGACTCAAGAGCGCATAGAAGAGCGTGCTGACACGGTACATGGCTGCCTTGTCAACGAAGGTGTAGTACTCAAACTGATGGGGAGGGAAGGGAAGGGAGGGAGGTGAGGAACAAGGGAGATGCAGAGGTGGGATGAAGGTGGAGAGGTGGGCAGCCGATGCGATACATGGCTGCCTTGTCTACAAAGGTGTAGTACTCGCACTGATGAGGGGAAGGGGAGGGGGGGGAGGTGAAAAGGGACGGTGATGGAGCTTGTGCTTTAAGCCCGCTCGATAAGAGCCGATGCGATACATTGCTGCCTTGCCACAAAGGTGTAGTACTCAAACTGATGGGAGGGAGGTGAGGAGAGACAGTGGGAAAAGACAGTGGTTAGGAGGGAGGGAGATAGGGGGGGAGCCAATGGACGTGAGACATGGAGGCCTTTAGCTCAGAAAGCAGACGATGTCACGATGACAAATGTTTGCAGACTTGCGGCTTAACATTTGTCATTGTCTCATGCTTGCAACGGTTGCTGCATCAAAAGTCACCTGCACCTCAAAAGTGCCCATTCACGAACCCTGGATTACCAGCATCTACTGCTAAAACATACAATCTTTGAGGCGCCTCAAAAGACGCGTCGTAAGGCGATTTTTGAGGCGCCTAAAAAATCCACTCACAAGCCAGCATCTACTGCTCAGACACACACACACACACACACACACACACACACACACACACACACACACACACACACACACACACACACAACACACACACACACAACACACACACACACACAAAAAAAAAGAAAAAAAAAATCGGACAAGGTCAAATTCTCATATCTCACGTTTGCAATTGTTGCTGTCTCCATAAATGCTGTTATATACGCAAGAGCGAGCACCCACGCCCCTTGCACGACGAGGGAGAAACACAGACGAGCGAGACGCGGAGGAGGCAGAGGAGGAGGGGGAGGAGGAGGAAGAAGGTTTGGATTTTCCGGAGTGAGAGGGTTTATGGGGTGGTTGCGCGGGGGTGTTGAGGAAGTGGCGGAGGCGGCGGATGGTGATGCTGGAGATGACGTGGTAGAAGCAGAAGTAGGCGTGGGTGAGCAGATAGAGCGCAAAGGGCACCTGTGGGTGCGAGCGGACGGAGAGGGGGAAAAGAATGCCAGAGAAATTTGCACGTGAGAGCTGGGAGGTGAGGAGCGGAAGAAGCGAGTGCGTGAGTGAGGGGTGTGGAGGCGGAGGGTGATGTTGGAGATGACGTGGTAGAAGCAGAAGTAGGCGTGGGTGAGCAGGTAGAGAGCAAAGGGCATCTGCGGTTAAAAGTAGTTCAAACTGTGTAGAAGCAGTTCACATCAGTTTTACCGTCCATTGTCCAAAAGTGGTTCCCCACGAAGGCAGGAAGGGAAGGTATGGAAGGCTCTTGTTAGCAACTGAAGTGAAGCAGCACGAAGAGGGAACCCACATCATTGCACTCACATCGTTGAGCCTCCACGAGGGGAAGGTGTAGAAAGCTCCCAGCAGCGTGTAAAAGTAGTGCGTCCAAAAGTGGTTCCCCACGAAGGAAGGTACAGAAACTCACATCGTTAAGACGCCAGGAGGGGAAAGTGTAGGAAGCTCCCAGCAGCGTGTAAAAGTAGTGCGTCCCAAAGTAGTTGCCTACAAAGCTGAAGATCGGAATGGTGCATAGGCCCTTAGAAGGAAGAGAGGCTGTACGAGGACGGAACTCACATCGTTGAGGCGCCAGGAGGGGAAGGTGTAGGAAGCTCCCAGCAGCGTCCAAAAGTAGTTGCCTACAAAGCTGAAGATGCGAACGGTATCGAGGCCTTTTAAAGGAAAAGGGAGGCAGACTCACATCATTGAGTCGCCATGAAGGGAAAGTATATGAAGCCCCTAGCAACATGTAGAAGTAGTGCGTCCAGAAGTAGTTGCCCATGAAGCTGAAGGCTGGAATGTTATGGAGACCCTTAGAAGAAAGAGAAGCAGTGCAAAGAGGGACAACAATGAACTCACATCGTTGAGTCGCCAAGAGGGGAAGGTGTAGGAAGCTCCCAGCAGCGTGTAGAAGTAGTGAGTCCAAAAGTAGTTGCCTACAAAGCTGAAGATTGGAGTGGTAAAGAGACCCTTGAAGCGAGAGAAATGGTGCAAAGAGGGACAACACATCACCATTCCGCACTCACATCATTGAGCCGCCAGGAGGGGAAAGTATATGAAGCTCCCAAGAGCGTGTAGAAGTAGTGAGTCCAAAAGTAGTTGCCTACGAAGCTGAAAATGGCAATCCACACGTTCGCCTTCACCCAGTGCTGCTCCTGCCATGGCCGCCCCTTGTCAGCCTGATGGGGGATGGGGGGAATGGGTGGGATGGGTGGGTGAATGGGTACATAGGTGCATGGCAGGGTGTGAAGATTGCGATCCACACATTCGCCTTCACCCAGTGCTGCTCGTGCCATGGCTTAAACCTGGCGGCCTGAAGGCATGGGGGGGTGGAGAGATGGGTGGATGGATGGGGGATGGGGGACACACATCATTGGGTTTGCCTTCACCCAGTGCTGCTCGTACCACGGCCGCCCCTTGTCAGCCTGATGGTATGGGTGGGGGGTTGGATGAGTGGGTGATGGGTGCATGGATGGGAGGACACACATCAAGCGAAGCTGAAGATGGCAATCCACATGTTCGCCTTCACCCAGTGCTGCTCGTGCCATGGCCGCCCCTTGTCAGCCTGATGGGGGATGGGGGGAATTGGGGGGAATGGGTGGGATGGGTGGGTGAGTGGGTACATAGGTGGATGGGAGGGTGTTGAGTTGGCAATCCACACGTTCGCCTTCACAGTGCTGCTCGTGCCATGGCCGCCCCTTGGCATGAGTGGGAGGGGGGATGTGTGTGGGTGGATGGGCGGGTTGGTGGGTGGATGGGTGGATGGGCGGGTTGGTGGGTGGATGGGCGGGTTGGTGGGTGGATGGGCGGGTTGGTGGGTGGATGGGCGGGTTGGTGGGTGGATGGGCGGGTTGGTGGGTGGATGGGCGGGTTGGTGGGTGGATGGGCGGGTTGGTGGGTGGATGGGCGGGTTGGTGGGTGGATGGGCGGGTTGGTGGGTGGATGGGCGGGTGGTGGGTGGATGGGCGGGTTGGTGGGTGGATGGGCGGGTTGGTGGGTGGATGGGCGGGTTGGTGGGTGGATGGGCGGGTTGGTGGGTGGATGGGCGGGTTGGTGGGTGGATGGGCGGGTTGGTGGGTGGATGGGCGGGTTGGTGGGTGGATGGGCGGGTTGGTGGGTGGGTGGATGGGCGGGTTGGTGGGTGGATGGGCGGGTTGGTGGGTGGATGGGCGGGTTGGTGGGTGGATGGGCGGGTGGTGGGTGGATGGGCGGGTTGGTGGGTGGATGGGCGGGTTGGTGGGTGGATGGGCGGGTTGGGTGGATGGGGGGTTGGTGGGTGGATGGGCGGGTTGGTGGGTGGATGGGCGGGTTGGTGGGTGGATGGGCGGGTTGGTGGGTGGATGGGCGGGTTGGTGGGTGGATGGGGGGTTGGTGGGTGGATGGGCGGGTTGGTGGGTGGATGGGCGGGTTGGTGGGTGGATGGGCGGGTTGGTGGGTGGATGGGCGGGTTGGTGGGTGGATGGGCGGGTTGGTGGGTGGATGGGCGGGTGGTGGGTGGATGTGGATGGGCGGGTTGGTGGGTGGATGGGCGGGTTGGTGGGTGGATGGGCGGGTTGGTGGGTGGATGGGATGGGCGGGTTGGTGGGTGGATGGGCGGGTTGGTGGGTGGATGGGCGGGTTGGTGGGTGGATGGGGGGTTGGTGGGTGGATGGGCGGGTTGGTGGGTGGATGGGCGGGTTGGTGGGTGGATGGGCGGGTTGGTGGGTGGATGGGCGGGTTGGTGGGTGGATGGGCGGGTTGGTGGGTGGATGGGCGGGTTGGTGGGTGGATGGGCGGGTTGGTGGGTGGATGGGCGGGTTGGTGGGTGGATGGGCGGGTTGGTGGGTGGATGGGCGGGTTGGTGGGTGGATGGGGGGTTGGTGGGTGGATGGGCGGGTTGGTGGGTGGATGGGCGGGTTGGTGGGTGGATGGGCGGGTTGGTGGGTGGATGGGCGGGTTGGTGGGTGGATGGGCGGGTTGGTGGGTGGATGGGCGGGTTGGTGGGTGGATGGGCGGGTTGGTGGGTGGATGGGCGGGGTTGGTGGGTGGATGGGCGGGTTGGTGGGTGGATGGGCGGGTTGGTGGGTGGATGGGCGGGTTGGTGGGTGGATGGGCGGGTTGGTGGGTGGATGGGCGGGTTGGTGGGTGGATGGGGGGTTGGTGGGTGGATGGGCGGGTTGGTGGGTGGATGGGAGGGGCGGGTTGGTGGGTGGATGGGGGGTTGGTGGGTGGATGGGCGGGTTGGTGGGTGGATGGGGGTTGGTGGGTGGATGGGCGGGTTGGTGGGTGGATGGGCGGGTTGGTGGGTGGATGGGCGGGTTGGTTGGGGATGGGCGGGCGGGTTGGTGGGTGGATGGGCGGGTTGGTGGGTGGATGGGCGGGTTGGTGGGTGGATGGGAGGTTGGTGGGTGGATGGGCGGGTTGGTGGGGGGGGGGTTGGTGGGTGGATGGGGGGTTGGTGGGTGGATGGGAGGGTTGGTGGGTGGATGGGCGGGTTGGTGGGTGGATGGGCGGGTTGGTGGGTGGATGGGCGGGTTTGGTGGGTGGATGGGCGGGTTGGTGGGTGGATGGGCGGGTTGGTGGGTGGATGGGCGGGTTGGTGGGGGATGGGCGGGTTGGTGGGTGGATGGGCGGGTTGGTGGGTGGATGGGCGGGTTGGTGGGTGGATGGGCGGGTTGGTGGGTGGATGGGCGGGTTGGTGGGTGGATGGGCGGGTTGGTGGGTGGATGGGCGGGTTGGTGGGTGGATGGGCGGGTTGGTGGGTGGATGGGCGGGTTGGTGGGTGGATGGGCGGGTTGGTGGGTGGATGGGGGGTTGGTGGGTGGATGGGCGGGTTGGTGGGTGGATGGGCGGGTTGGTGGGTGGATGGGCGGGTTGGTGGGTGGATGGGGGGTTGGTGGGTGGATGGGCGGGTTGGTGGGTGGATGGGCGGGTTGGTGGGTGGATGGGCGGGTTGGTTGGTGGGTGGATGGGCGGGTTGGTGGGTGGATGGGCGGGTTGGTGGGTGGATGGGCGGGTTTGGGGGATGGGAGGGTTGGTGGGTGGATGGGGGGTTGGTGGGTGGATGGGAGGGTTGGTGGGTGGATGGGCGGGTTGGTGGTGGATGGGCGGGTTGGTGGGTGGATGGGGGGTTGGTGGGGGATGGGCGGGTTGGTGGGTGGATGGGCGGGTTGGTGTGGATGGGCGGGGGTTGGTGGGTGGATGGGCGGTTGGTGGGGGATGGGCGGGTTGGTGGGTGGATGGGCGGGTTGGTGGGTGGATGGGCGGGTTGGTGGGTGGATGGGCGGGTTGGTGGGTGGATGGGCGGGTTGGTGGTGGATGGGCGGGTTGGTGGGTGGATGGGCGGGTTGGTGGGTGGATGGGCGGGTTGGTGGGTGGATGGGCGGGTTGGTGGGTGGATGGGCGGGTTGGTGGGTGGATGGGCGGGTTGGTGGGTGGATGGGCGGGTTGGTGGGTGGATGGGCGGGTTGGTGGGTGGATGGGGCGGGTTGGTGGGTGGATGGCGGGTTGGGGGTGGATGGGCGGGTTGGTGGGTGGATGGGCGGGTTGGTGGGTGGATGGGCGGGTTGGTGGGTGGATGGGCGGGTTGGTGGGTGGATGGGCGGGTTGGTGGGTGGATGGGCGGGTTGGTGGGTGGATGGGCGGGTTGGTGTGGATGGGCGGGTTGGTGGGTGGATGGGCGGGTGGTGGGTGGATGGGCGGGTTGGTGGGTGATGGGCGGGTGGTGGGTGGATGGGCGGGTTGGTGGGTGGATGGGCGGGTGGTGGGTGGATGGGCGGGTTGGTGGGTGGATGGGCGGGTTGGGGTGGATGGGCGGGTGGTGGGTGGATGGGCGGGTTGGTGGGTGGATGGGCGGGTTGGTGGGTGGATGGGCGGGTTGGTGGGTGGATGGGCGGGTTGGTGGGTGGATGGGCGGGTTGGTGGGTGGATGGGCGGGTTGGTGGGTGGATGGGCGGGTTGGTGGGTGGATGGGCGGGTTGGTGGGTGGATGGGCGGGTGGTGGTGGGTGGAGGGGCGGGTTGGTGGGTGGATGGGCGGGTTGGTGGGTGGATGGGCGGGTTGGTGGGTGGATGGGCGGGTTGGTGGGTGGATGGGCGGGTTGGGTGGTGGGTGGATGGGCGGGTTGGTGGGTGGATGGGCGGGTTGGTGGGTGGATGGGCGGGTTGGTGGGTGGATGGGCGGGTTGGTGGGTGGATGGGCGGGTTGGTGGGTGGATGGGCGGGTTGGTGGGTGGATGGGCGGGTTGGTGGGTGGATGGGGGGTTGGTGGGTGGATGGGCGGGTTGGTGGGTGGATGGGCGGGTTGGTGGGTGGATGGGCGGGTTGGTGGGTGGATGGGCGGGTTGGTGGGTGGATGGGCGGGTTGGTGGGTGGATGGGCGGGTTGGTGGGTGGATGGGCGGGTTGGTGGGTGGATGGGCGGGTTGGTGGGTGGATGGGCGGGTTGGTGGGTGGATGGGCGGGTTGGTGGTGGATGGGCGGGTTGGTGGGTGGATGGCGGGTTGGTGGGTGGATGGGCGGGTTGGTGGGTGGATGGGCGGGTTGGTGGGTGGATGGGCGGGTTGGTGGGTGGATGGGCGGGTTGGTGGGTGGATGGGCGGGTTGGTGGGTGGATGGGCGGGTTGGTGGGTGGATGGGCGGGTTGGTGGGTGGATGGGCGGGTTGGTGGGTGGATGGGCGGGTTGGTGGGTGGATGGGCGGGTTGGTGGGTGGATGGGCGGGTTGGTGGGTGGATGGGCGGGTTGGTGGGTGGATGGGCGGGTTGGTGGGTGGATGGGCGGGTTGGTGGGTGGATGGGCGGGTTGGTGGGTGGATGGGCGGGTTGGTGGGTGGATGGGCGGGTTGGTGGGTGGATGGGCGGGTTGGTGGGTGGATGGGCGGGTTGGTGGGTGGATGGGTGGTGGGGGATGGATGGATGGATGGATGGATGGATGGATGGATGGATGGATGGATGGATGGATGGATGGATGGATGGATGGATGGATGGGTGGGTGGGTCAAGCCAAACAGACACATACACTACTTGGTCACGATGACACATGCTCTCACCACACTACATGCTCTTCCATGCTCTCCATGCGCTCCCATGCGCTCCCATGCTCACCGCACACAGGATGGCAGGTGGAACGAGCACGCAGGGCAGAGCCGCTGCGAGGCCCACCCACAGGTACTCCCACTCCGTGAAACGCTGGGGGGGGGCGGCGGGGTGGGGGAGGTGGAGGTAGGGTAGGGGGAAGAGGGAGGAAAGAGTAGTGAAGTGCTGACACGTTCGAGCAGTTAAGTGCAGCGAGGCCCACCCACTGATACTCCCATTCCGTGAAACGCGCGGGGGAGGGGGGAGGGGGGGTGAAACGGAGGGGAGGGGGATGGTGGAGGGAGGGAAGGGGGAGGGGGAGGGAGAGGGGGGGATTACAGCGTGGGTAGGCGCTTGTGTCACCAGGCGGGATTTGAACCGTCGTGCTGGCTCTTACCAGGCCTCAAACGGGGTGACTTTTGAGTCGACTCAAAAGTCACCTCCTTACCAGGCGGCATTTGAACCGGGGTGGGGGGCAAACAACTACCCCACCACCACTTCCTTCAAACACACGCAACCTCCAACACCGTTGTGCTGGCTGTTACCAGGCCTCAAACGGAAGAGGGGGAGTAGGTTGCGCGGGTCTACATGCCGAGGCGCGGATGAGGCAATGCCGAGGCGCGGATGAGGCAGTGCCGAGGCGCGGATGAGGCAATGCCGAGGCGCGGAACGAAGAAGTGCCGACGCGCGGAAGGCAATGTCGACGCGCGGAACGAGGCAATGCCAGAGCGCTAGCTGCGCCAAAAGCCCATGCGACTCAAACGGCTAGTGCGTTGACTCGGACGCTCCCTAATGAATCGTTACAGCGAGAAATTTAGGTACCTTATATCGATACCTTATAGAGCTGAAACGGGACGATGATGCCGAGAGCCCATGTGATCCAAACGGGCGAATAGTAAAGAAAGAACTTCTCGGCCCATCGCTTGCTGGGCGTCTCCGCGAACCACATGGCGCCTGCTAATTGGATCCAGCAGGGACCTGAGAATGCAGCTTAGGGACGACTTGAGACGACGTTCTTAAGTAGGGAATGGATGGAATGGTAAGTAGTGCGCGATTCTAGGAAGTTTGGGGATTAATTGGTTTGATTTTTTGGCTGAGGTTCGCTGCTGACCATCCGATCTTGGAAGGATCGACCAGCCCTCGGGATTGCCGCGCCTGGAGCGGCTCGCCACGTGGGACAGATGAGTGGCTCATCATTTCCTTGTATGACGAGTCGGACAAATTCGACCTTTCTCGTACCCTACCGAACCACTTTAGAAATTGAATTGGCCACTCTGGAACGTAAACAAGCCTCATTCGAACGAATTTCTAGCGAAAATTATTGGGTTACCACCTGTTTGGTTCAAAGCCAAAATTGCAGGTTCTAAGTCGAAAACAACGGGTGTTCCATGCTCTGACTGAAAGCGTGCAGGGAAACCTTGTATCGAGTAAAGCGATTACCACAGGCTATTTCCTGAAACAATTGGCACTAATGTTTTTGCTGGTTTACCCACCACCTAGGGCCTCACACTCAAGTCTGGACTTAGGGTTCACCCCACGCGCAACGAAGCTGCTCTCCCGCAGCTGCGGGCGCGTTTCGTCCGAGGTACCCCCTAAGGCTCATTATGCCGAGCCGGGAAATCTCATCGCTGTAAATCTCGTTCGCTGCAGTCACATTGCAGCTACACTCGATTCTTCGTTGTAATCACAATGGATCTTCTGCCTGAAGTATGGTACGAGCAGGCCAGCAGCATCGAAGATTCGTTAGTAGCGTCCGCGTCTAAAGATTCTCCGTCAAGCAACCCCTCAAAACCCTCGCAATCCCCGGCTAAAACCCCGTCGAAAAAGTCTCTCGCCAAAAAGGCTCGCCGAAATTCCGGAGGGGCGGAAACCGCAAGCACGGGCGCAGATGCATCCGTGGAAGCTGGCGTGGGAAACTGGCGCTGCTACTGGCGCAGTCGGGAACTCGGGGGAAGGCGCAGGGGCGGGCGGAGGGGGTCAGGCGGAAGACCCGCGCGGGGGCCTGTCAGAGGCGGAGTGGATGGCGCTGGCGGAGCAGCTGCGGGGGGAAGGAGACGCGCTTCTGAAGGAGGCGGCGGAGGCGTATGAGCGACGCAAGGAGAGCAGCAGCGATGCCAGGTGGCTCGCTGCCGTCCGTCGATCTGGAACGGCCGCGGATCGTGTGGCCGCGCTTACTGTGGTTATTCAGGACGACCCTGTAGCGAACCTCGCCAATCTGGACGCGTTACTGGGTAAGAGCCTGTTAAAATACGCGTTATAGAGCAGAGTGTCTCCAAGTTGAAACGTGTTCTCCCCCCTCTCCGCTCTCGCACCCCCCTTCCCACCCCTCTCCCCGCTCAACCCTACATCCTCCCCTCTGCCCCGCCCCCCTCGTTGCCCCAGCCAGGGTTGTCAACAAGTCGACCAAGCGCCATGCGCTGGGGAGCCAGGGACGCACGCAGCGAGCGCGGCACCGCCGCGCGGCTGCCCGCCCGGGCCGGCGCCCGCGGCCCGGCCCACACGGCCCGCCGGCCCACACGGCCCGCCGGCCCACACGGCCCGCCGGCCCACACGGCCCGCCGGCCCACACGGCCCGCCGGCCCACACGGCCCGCCGGCCCACACGGCCCGCCGGCCCACACGGCCCGCCGGCCCACACGGCCCGCCGGCCCACACGGCCCGCCGGCCCACACGGCCCGCCGGCCCACACGGCCCGCCGGCCCACACGGCCCGCCGGCCCACACGGCCCGCCGGCCCACACGGCCCGCCGGCCCACACGGCCCGCCGGCCCACACGGCCCGCCGGCCCACACGGCCCGCCGGCCCACACGGCCCGCCGGCCCGCACGGCCCGCCGGCCCACACGGCCCGCCGGCCCACACGGCCCGCCGGCCCACACGGCCCGCCGGCCCACACGGCCCGCCGGCCCACACGGCCCGCCGGCCCACACGGCCCGCCGGCCCACACGGCCCGCCGGCCCACACGGCCCGCCGGCCCGCACGGCCCGCCGGCCCACACGGCCCGCCGGCCCACACGGCCCGCCGGCCCACACGGCCCGCCGGCCCACACGGCCCGCCGGCCCACACGGCCCGCCGGCCCACACGGCCCGCCGGCCCACACGGCCCGCCGGCCCGCACGGCCCGCCGGCCCACACGGCCCGCCGGCCCGCACGGCCCGCCGGCCCACACGGCCCGCCGGCCCGCACGGCCCGCCGGCCCACACGGCCCGCCGGCCCGCACGGCCCGCCGGCCCACACGGCCCGCCGGCCCGCACGGCCCGCCGGCCCACACGGCCCGCCGGCCCACACGGCCCGCCGGCCCACACGGCCCGCCGGCCCACACGGCCCGCCGGCCCACACGGCCCGCCGGCCCGCACGGCCCGCCGGCCCACACGGCCCGCCGGCCCACACGGCCCGCCGGCCCACACGGCCCGCCGGCCCACACGGCCCGCCGGCCCACACGGCCCGCCGGCCCACACGGCCCGCCGGCCCACACGGCCCGCCGGCCCACACGGCCCGCCGGCCCACACGGCCCGCCGGCCCACACGGCCCGCCGGCCCACACGGCCCGCCGGCCCACACGGCCCGCCGGCCCGCACGGCCCGCCGGCCCACACGGCCCGCCGGCCCGCACGGCCCGCCGGCCCACACGGCCCGCCGGCCCACACGGCCCGCCGGCCCACACGGCCCGCCGGCCCACACGGCCCGCCGGCCCACACGGCCCGCCGGCCCACACGGCCCGCCGGCCCGCACGGCCCGCCGGCCCACACGGCCCGCCGGCCCACACGGCCCGCCGGCCCGCACGGCCCGCCGGCCCGCACGGCCCGCCGGCCCACACGGCCCGCCGGCCCACACGGCCCGCCGGCCCACACGGCCCGCCGGCCCACACGGCCCGCCGGCCCACACGGCCCGCCGGCCCACACGGCCCGCCGGCCCACACGGCCCGCCGGCCCACACGGCCCGCCGGCCCACACGGCCCGCCGGCCCGCACGGCCCGCCGGCCCACACGGCCCGCCGGCCCGCACGGCCCGCCGGCCCACACGGCCCGCCGGCCCGCACGGCCCGCCGGCCCGCACGGCCCGCCGGCCCACACGGCCCGCCGGCCCACACGGCCCGCCGGCCCGCACGGCCCGCCGGCCCACACGGCCCGCCGGCCCACACGGCCCGCCGGCCCACACGGCCCGCCGGCCCACACGGCCCGCCGGCCCACACGGCCCGCCGGCCCACACGGCCCGCCGGCCCACACGGCCCGCCGGCCCACACGGCCCGCCGGCCCACACGGCCCGCCGGCCCGCACGGCCCGCCGGCCCACACGGCCCGCCGGCCCGCACGGCCCGCCGGCCCACACGGCCCGCCGGCCCGCACGGCCCGCCGGCCCGCACGGCCCGCCGGCCCACACGGCCCGCCGGCCCACACGGCCCGCCGGCCCACACGGCCCGCCGGCCCACACGGCCCGCCGGCCCACACGGCCCGCCGGCCCACACGGCCCGCCGGCCCACACGGCCCGCCGGCCCGCACGGCCCGCCGGCCCACACGGCCCGCCGGCCCACACGGCCCGCCGGCCCACACGGCCCGCCGGCCCACACGGCCCGCCGGCCCACACGGCCCGCCGGCCCACACGGCCCGCCGGCCCACACGGCCCGCCGGCCCACACGGCCCGCCGGCCCACACGGCCGCCGGCCCGCACGGCCCGCCGGCCCACACGGCCCGCCGGCCCGCACGGCCCGCCGGCCCACACGGCCCGCCGGCCCACACGGCCCGCCGGCCCGCACGGCCCGCCGGCCCACACGGCCCGCCGGCCCACACGGCCCGCCGGCCCGCACGGCCCGCCGGCCCACACGGCCCGCCGGCCCACACGGCCCGCCGGCCCACACGGCCCGCCGGCCCACACGGCCCGCCGGCCCACACGGCCCGCCGGCCCACACGGCCCGCCGGCCCACACGGCCCGCCGGCCCACACGGCCCGCCGGCCCACACGGCCCGCCGGCCCACACGGCCCGCCGGCCCACACGGCCCGCCGGCCCACACGGCCCGCCGGCCCACACGGCCCGCCGGCCCACACGGCCCGCCGGCCCACACGGCCCGCCGGCCCACACGGCCCGCCGGCCCGCACGGCCCGCCGGCCCACACGGCCCGCCGGCCCGCACGGCCCGCCGGCCCACACGGCCCGCCGGCCCACACGGCCCGCCGGCCCGCACGGCCCGCCGGCCCACACGGCCCGCCGGCCCGCACGGCCCGCCGGCCCACACGGCCCGCCGGCCCACACGGCCCGCCGGCCCGCACGGCCCGCCGGCCCACACGGCCCGCCGGCCCACACGGCCCGCCGGCCCGCACGGCCCGCCGGCCCACACGGCCCGCCGGCCCACACGGCCCGCCGGCCCACACGGCCCGCCGGCCCACACGGCCCGCCGGCCCACACGGCCCGCCGGCCCACACGGCCCGCCGGCCCACACGGCCCGCCGGCCCGCACGGCCCGCCGGCCCACACGGCCCGCCGGCCCGCACGGCCCGCCGGCCCACACGGCCCGCCGGCCCACACGGCCCGCCGGCCCGCACGGCCCGCCGGCCCACACGGCCCGCCGGCCCACACGGCCCGCCGGCCCGCACGGCCCGCCGGCCCGCACGGCCCGCCGGCCCACACGGCCCGCCGGCCCACACGGCCCGCCGGCCCACACGGCCCGCCGGCCCACACGGCCCGCCGGCCCACACGGCCCGCCGGCCCACACGGCCCGCCGGCCCGCACGGCCCGCCGGCCCGCACGGCCCGCCGGCCCACACGGCCCGCCGGCCCACACGGCCCGCCGGCCCGCACGGCCCGCCGGCCCACACGGCCCGCCGGCCCGCACGGCCCGCCGGCCCACACGGCCCGCCGGCCCACACGGCCCGCCGGCCCGCACGGCCCGCCGGCCCACACGGCCCGCCGGCCCACACGGCCCGCCGGCCCGCACGGCCCGCCGGCCCACACGGCCCGCCGGCCCACACGGCCCGCCGGCCCACACGGCCCGCCGGCCCACACGGCCCGCCGGCCCACACGGCCCGCCGGCCCACACGGCCCGCCGGCCCACACGGCCCGCCGGCCCGCACGGCCCGCCGGCCCACACGGCCCGCCGGCCCACACGGCCCGCCGGCCCACACGGCCCGCCGGCCCACACGGCCCGCCGGCCCACACGGCCCGCCGGCCCACACGGCCCGCCGGCCCACACGGCCCGCCGGCCCACACGGCCCGCCGGCCCACACGGCCCGCCGGCCCACACGGCCCGCCGGCCCACACGGCCCGCCGGCCCACACGGCCCGCCGGCCCACACGGCCCGCCGGCCCACACGGCCCGCCGGCCCACACGGCCCGCCGGCCCACACGGCCCGCCGGCCCGCACGGCCCGCCGGCCCACACGGCCCGCCGGCCCGCACGGCCCGCCGGCCCACACGGCCCGCCGGCCCACACGGCCCGCCGGCCCGCACGGCCCGCCGGCCCACACGGCCCGCCGGCCCGCACGGCCCGCCGGCCCACACGGCCCGCCGGCCCACACGGCCCGCCGGCCCGCACGGCCCGCCGGCCCACACGGCCCGCCGGCCCACACGGCCCGCCGGCCCGCACGGCCCGCCGGCCCACACGGCCCGCCGGCCCACACGGCCCGCCGGCCCACACGGCCCGCCGGCCCACACGGCCCGCCGGCCCACACGGCCCGCCGGCCCACACGGCCCGCCGGCCCACACGGCCCGCCGGCCCGCACGGCCCGCCGGCCCACACGGCCCGCCGGCCCGCACGGCCCGCCGGCCCACACGGCCCGCCGGCCCACACGGCCCGCCGGCCCGCACGGCCCGCCGGCCCACACGGCCCGCCGGCCCACACGGCCCGCCGGCCCGCACGGCCCGCCGGCCCACACGGCCCGCCGGCCCGCACGGCCCGCCGGCCCACACGGCCCGCCGGCCCACACGGCCCGCCGGCCCGCACGGCCCGCCGGCCCACACGGCCCGCCGGCCCACACGGCCCGCCGGCCCGCACGGCCCGCCGGCCCACACGGCCCGCCGGCCCACACGGCCCGCCGGCCCACACGGCCCGCCGGCCCACACGGCCCGCCGGCCCACACGGCCCGCCGGCCCACACGGCCCGCCGGCCCACACGGCCCGCCGGCCCGCACGGCCCGCCGGCCCACACGGCCCGCCGGCCCGCACGGCCCGCCGGCCCACACGGCCCGCCGGCCCACACGGCCCGCCGGCCCGCACGGCCCGCCGGCCCACACGGCCCGCCGGCCCGCACGGCCCGCCGGCCCACACGGCCCGCCGGCCCACAC